CACATCGTGCATAGGGAACCGGTAGAGCATAGCGTAATGTCTTACGGGGAGAGTTCGTCCCCATGGGAGAACAAGCCGCCGGCATTGTGGTAAAAAAGTTAAAACGTTCCTATCTACACGGTGACAATGTAGTTAACCACTTGTGACGAGAAAAAATCACGATCGGTACGAGAAGCATCTCTTGGATGGAATGGAAAATACACGGGATGTTCTTTACGAGCCACTAGCTTCCCGTGTGGTAATATTTATTTTTACCAGCGGAACGAGCAACCGCGATTAAACTTTCACTGTAACGAGCCTCGTGCCGTTGGATAGTCGCGTGACGAGCCCATTGTGTTTATTCTACGCGTACGTTTCGAAGAATGATGACCGAGATGAATGCGCGAAATTCTTTAGACCTTTTATTCTTTTTTATCGCACGCCGACCTGGCATAAATTCGCAGAAATGCGTTTGACCGCCGAGAATTTCAACGATTAAGGTTATGTTATGAGCGCCATATGCTTTCTAAACGCGCCATTTCGCATAACTTATAAGTTGTACAAATGCAATTTTGCTTTAAGGAACGCATAATTATTAACTCCTTTTTAGATATTTTGATAGTATTTGACGAGTAGAATGCAAAAATACCAGTTTTAAGCTCAGGAATTCATTGGTTCAATAGTTATGCGTATACAAAGATACGTATTTTTCGCGTATTTTACAGGCTACTTTGACGCCATATTGATTTCTATCCGTAATTCGTCCAATCAGCGGAATCGTTGCTTCTGAAGAGATCACGTGGGCTGCAGCCACAGATAAATCAAATAATACATGTTGGTTTACAATAAAGTTGATTAGAATTTGAATATTTTTTTCTTTTTTTTGAATTAAATAAGTTTGAACACATATAAATAGAGACATTTCATTTCTCCCGCCAAAATAGCCACCCACGTGATCTGTTTAGAAGCACTTTGCTCATTGGACGAATTAAAACTAGAAATCAATCTAACAAATAGAAACGCCAACGTTACATAATTTCGAAAATCATCGAAAGCAAACATTAACGCGAGACGTTCGAGTAGGAAACGATTCCATTATATCTCGGAGGTGTATCGCGTATTCTTTCGCATTCTACCTACGCGGTGAATGCGTGCGGTCAACAATGTAACTTACAACACGCGGATTGCTATTTTGAGGTACACACTGAGCAGCGAGGGTTGTGAGCGAGGGTTATGAGATGGCGTGGCCCGACAGCAATTATAGCGCTGCTTGTTTCGTAATTGAAATATCTTGAAGCTGGCACAAGCATTCAGCTCGGCTCTAAGACCGCAAATTATAAAATTATTCGGACGGACGATTCGCAATTGAATTAGACTAACCAGGTCCCGTAGAATAAATCGTAATCGTTTCAAATTCTCCTTATTAATTTCGCGAATCAAATTTATTGTTCATTCACAAACGATTTATAAGTCATAATCAGAATTTTAGTTCTTATCCTTATGAATTACAAATTATCATACTTTTTAATAAAATAAAATAATTCCTAAAGTTAAAAAATTTTCTCTAACATTAACCGTTGAAACGCGAGCGTTGAAAGGATAGGCAAAAAAAGAGGTGAAGAGGGTGAGCAGGAGAACTGAATGAAAATATCGAGGAAAGAAGAATGTCGGCAAACGTAGGGCTAGATCTTTTTGTCAGATCGTCGGCAATGGTCGAGGTAGGTCGTATATAACGAAACGCTCTTATTCGGACGAGGAGGAATAGCAGGAAGAAGAGGGTGCACTGGGGTGGGATGGTAGAGAAAAGGAGGGATGAGCATAGGAGGGAAATGGCGTATAGCTTCCCGGCAGGCCACAGTGCAAATGCAGGCCTTGAATGTGTAATAAGCACTCAGGTCGCAACCCTTGGCTAGACCAGTGGCTCGTGTCTGCGTTTAGAAAGGTCCTGGCACACATACGCGTCCACGGTGCGTCACACGCGTGCCACGTGGCTGCGTGTGGGTTTGTTGCAGACCACACGTGAATGCTGACTCCCGTTGTGTGGGTCGTTCAGAATGATACGGCACCGTGGACGCAAGTTTGATTGCGAACGGACGACGACGCCGTTGCCTGCCAGGCCGTGAGGCAAACACGCATCGTCGCAGGCGACCCGGTGGGGTGAAGTCGGCCTGAAAACAGGATGAAATGGCAGGTGGGAGGGTAGAAGGCTATCGCTCTCTTTTCCAAAGCTCATAAAAGCAACGGCAGTGCGTATTAATGCGCGACGTTGACGATGTGCTCTACGAGGGGCACCTAAAAGACGATGCATTGTACGAACAGGAACGAGTGTATACCACCTTTCTACTTTTTACATTCGCCTTACTCGCTTACCGACCACCTATACCAGGAATATACAGGGTGGTTCTGGAATCGTGCCGCAAGCAGATAAAGCTTTATTTCTTTTAAGAAAATAAATTAGAATAGGAGTTTTGTTTCTGGGAAAATAGATTTATGTGGACTAAAATAGACTTAGTGGAATAAGCTTTGTTATTTTATTATGGTCACCCCTAATTTTCACCATTTCCTCTGTTTTAAGTAAATTACTGAGATTATGGCAGATATCATGGTTAAGTTATTTAAAATTTTATTAATAATATGAAATAATTATTATAGAAACTGAAATAAAATCTCGAAGCACCATGTATTGTACAAAATTCAGCCATTCTTGCGTTTCACCAACTTCTTTTCCTTTCTAGTCTTCTCGTCGCCTTCCACCCTCTTTCCTCTTTGGCAAAATCTTTTGTTAGGTTTATCGTTTGTTTGCGAACGAAGATCGGTTTCGAACAAGGGAACAGTTTTAGCGTTATAAGCGCTCTTTTAATATCAGGTAGAATACAGGTTTTCGCTTTGAAGAAATTGCTACGAGGCAATGCTGTATTGTGGAGTAAAATTGCTACCTCGTATCTTCCATAAAATGATATTTTCAAAACAAAAATATTGAAAAAAGGAATCATAAAATTTGTAATTTATTTTATCAAAAAATTAAAGTGGATTCAAAAGACATCTGTGTATACCCCAGTCGTCTAACTAATAAAGAAAAACACTTCCTCCCCCTCCCCCCGATCTCCTAGTAATTTCTAACTAGTTCGCAAGAAACCTCGTTAGCGAATTTATTCGCTATGACTTTATCAAGTTCGAAGGATCTTCCTCCTTTTAGTTTCAGCAAGCCGTGCCACTGCACCGATCTTCTCGACTGTAACGTTAAAAGTATTAGCCACTTTGGCGGAGTAGTAATTATTATGCAAGAACGGTTGATCTCGTAAAATTATGCAAGTTGACAAAAAATCTTTTACCCCATCTGGGGGCAAAGAAATCTTTACTCTATATAAAACGCTATTGACTTTGAAATTTAAACTTGAATATTTAATCGATTCGTAAATTATCAAAAAATTAAAATTTATTTTGATTCTCTGTTTACTAGCAACAAATGTAGAGTATATACCTATAAATTATTTATAATTACACGTATAGGTATTAAGATTGTGTACCTGTACGGTATTCGTAATTATTTTCGAAAGCTTCACTTTGAACATTACGAGAGGATTTCAATCATTCGGAGAGCGTCATTTCTCATCCTTTCAGAGTAGTCCTAAAAGGATCAAGTGATAAATGTATCCCATAAATATACGTAACTTAGTGCTGATTTGCAGTTATAGGACTGAGCGAACGTCTTGGTGTTGCATTTCAAATGTTCTTCAAACTTCCTCGCGGTTAAGACAGAGGAACTTTTAATGGTTTCGTTGTAAAACGAAAGGAAATATACAACATATATTAATATTAATTTATAGTTATGCTATGGGTGAAGAACTATTGAATACAAAATTATCGAAACTCTGTAAAAGAGAAAAATTACATTTACTTTACTTTAAAAATGAAACAGAACACCGGTGTACGCAAAGGCTTTTGAAATGATCTGATAACTTCAATCCGATGTTATCATCGACGAAAATCAAATTTCACAGAGGCGTGTATCGGTGATACAAATCCAGCGCGATTTCATTTTAAAATGCATGACAAAGGGTAGATTAAATGGCCATGTGAAACGACTTTGAGCACCGATCACCGATCACCTATAGTCTGTTGTCCAACACCGCGTGACGAAATAAAATTCGCCTCGATGGATGGCGCCGATCGGTGCCCAAAGTGGAGTCATCTAAAATGCAAATATCAAACACGTCGTATTTTGGCCACAAACGCGTCATGTTCCCGTTTTGAATACGGCTAAACAAGTGGCAACCGCAACTAAAATGGAATCGGATGTAATTTTCTCTCCCTTGTTCCTAATTGCTCTCCCTTCCCGTCATTCGTCCTCTTTGTTTCTCTGTTTTCTTAACTCGTCTTGTTGGTTTTTCTCCTTCCCTTCGCTTTTCCTTTGGATCATTCTCTTTCTCTTCTTCTTGCATGTTCTTCATACATGCCGCAGTATCCGTTCGGCACATGTAAAGTTTCTCCGTGTCGTTTATTTTCCGTATCGACCTCGCTTCCGGTACTGTTCTTCTCAACCGTGACGTATGGATTACTCCTCGCGTTCCTTTTATTCTCTTCCTCTGTCGTTTTCTCTTTGCTACACTCTATCGGACGTGAAACAGCATGCTGCTTTTGTGATTGTCATCGGGAATTTTGTTCGAGCTTGACACCATTGGCGTAACTATGATTTTTTAGGGGGTAGACTAGGTTTCTTAACTTTACTGACAGTGTCTATTTAAGAATTTTTTAATTTTATAAGTTTAAAATTTGGGAATTTGAAAATTTTATAAGATTAGAATTTGAGAATTTGAAAATTTTAGAACCCTCGAATCTTAGGATGGTGGGAAGGCCAGTTCACATTTTTGGAGGACTAAGCCCACCCTGGCCTCTGCCTACTTATACCACTGATTCACACCCTTATTGGAGGGTTTTGAACTTCTCGTATAGCTCACATTTTTTTATTGAAAAATAGAGGATTTGAATATATATTAAATGTTTTATTGTTTATTTTTCAGGCGGAGGAGCTAAACACCATCGTTGGCAATGCTTTTCGTATGGCATACGTGGCGCAACTTCAGCGTCAACCGATTCTTCAAGATGTGATCTCACCTCAATCGTCGCCACCCTACCGCAAGGACAAACAAGAGAATCGATCTTCGTGGGTGCGTATGATTTCCTTAAATCTTTATTTTCTTGTTAATAATACATATATATTTCACACACTGATCTATCAATAAATGTAGTCATTTCTATACAAATGATATGAATAACAAATAAAAATGATTCATTGGAAAGGAATGATTCATTAAAAAGAATGAACAGCTGTTCTCTTTGATTGCTTTTCGTTCCATGGCAATTTTTCACGGTCGAACGTTTCAAATAATTGCCTGTCACCGCATTCTAACGGCACAATTTATCAGAAATAAAATTCTTCCAAGACCACACAAATGAGAACGAAAGAGCTTTAAGAAACACTGCAAGGTAAAAGGTCTTACAAGCTTATTAAATGTTACGTGATCCAAAAGGAATTGTAAAATCGTTCAAGGATATTTAAAACAGACATTTTATAATTTTACATTAATATACATTTAATAATGGAAAATAATATTTTATAATTTTATTAGATATCAAAAATGGTCTTGAAATTTATTAACAGTAGTATATATTTAAAAGAGATGCATATATTTTTTTTTAAATACGCTTGAGCCCGCGAGGAAAAGAAATGATACGTATTTAATACCGTCTCATGGGAGCATCAGTTTCCAGTAGAGGTGTCCCATTTACAGGCCGCGTTAATTATAAATTCGACCCGAGTCTCTCGGCTCCGTGGTGTTTCCAAGTAAACGGTCAGTCCGACGCGGTATGGCCGCTGGTTCTACCTACGCATTCGTCCTGGGAATCGTAAGATCCTATTGATTAACTATTCATTGCTATCCAAGTTTTGTCACCTGCCTTCGAATCTGTTTTTTATACTGTCTCTGGGTTCAAATTGGCAAGTGAACAGCGAAACTGCCCTACAAGGTGTCTGTCATTTCCTTTCTGACAAGTGAAACATGCAACAGGCAATTTCGTTTCTTTCTTATTCTAAACAATTCTAAGATAACTTTTAAAACTGACAAAATTAAATTAAACATAGAAACATTTACTTATAAAATAGAACGCTGAATTGAAACACAGTAAGTGGATCAAGATTGAAATTTGAAGATTTCGTTTCGAGCTTAACTAATGATCTTTCTTCTGTCCACAGAACAAATCGTTGGCTGGCGACAGTTCAATTGCCGGCGCGGAAAGCATTTGCAGGAATTCATCTTCGAATTCGTGGTTAAAAAGTCGGACGTCGCCCACGTCCAGAAGTGGAAGCGGCTCGTCTGCGGCGGACATGAACGTGCAGCTCGGCAGTGCCGGCTCGCCCACGCTGCGACTCGCCAGCGTGAAGGTAAGCTCACGCATTCTATTCCCCTATATTTTCGCTGAATGGCTTTTTCATGGGACCATACGGTGTTATTTCACGGCACTGTTCGCTACGCTTTTTCACCTCCGCTTGAATAGAGACGTCATTGAACCGCTTCACTGGGGAAGACCGATGACACGAAAATTCCAAAAACATTTGGAACTTTGAGAAATGTAGCTCAAGCGACGATAAAAATGAAATGAACTGTTCCAGGTGTGAAAACGTTGCCTTATGTGTAACTTTGAATTTAACTTCTTTTTTGGATCTTGTAGAATTTTGTAAATATTCAGAATAATATTTGATTAGGATTTCTAGGGCTTGGAGCCATGAAACCATCGAGGGCCTCCTTGGTTGAGAAACTTGGTTCAAAAATCGAAATTTATTCTAAATAAAATAACATTTAAACATATAGAAAAAAATGTAATTCAATATTTCTTGATATAGTAAATGGAAGGCTTAGAAGGGAGCCCTTGGAAAGTGAGGCCCAGAGCTGTAGCCCCCTTAAACCTCCCCTTAATCTAACTCTACTTATCATTTTTTTAAAGTAGTATTTAATGTTTAATGACCGAAAAATATCCATTAAACTAGAGAATGATAATAAATAACAATAGCCATTACTACTCCTTCTACTCTAATTCAAATTTGCACCCTCTCCTCTACAATATTTTTCTGAAAAAATAATTTTACTCCCCAATAACTGTACATTGAAATAATGAAAAATTTTTTTGCTTGAATCTAGGCACCGACTTCGATCCCCGGTCTACGGCCGACGCACAATTTTACGAACGTGCTCGGTCCAATAACGAACGAGGACGAGCCGAAGAGTATCTCTCAGCAAAGCACGCCAAGCAGCGATGAGAGCAACTCGCCAACGGAACTAAACTCGTATAAGAGACTAACGGACAAGCCGCCTCTGATAAAGCGGCTGGCGATGGGTTTGACAGGTGGACGTGATGTTCTTGGACTGAACGGTGAGGATGACAGCTGCCCCCTCGTCAGTGGTAGCAGCACACCGACGAGCCCATCGAACAGGCCGCATTCTGGGGGCTATATAAACGAGGCGATCATCGACTCGGAGGGTACGAGGTCAGCCTACAATAAGATACCCCCGTCCGAGAGCCTGGATAACACCATCAATGCTTCAATTACCGCGAAAAACTTAAATATTGAAAATAACAGGTAATTATACCTGCGCTGATCGATTAAAAGGTTGGATCACTTTGGCTAGTAAATGAATGTTAATTAATATTATTATAATTGGTCATTGAATTTACAGGATAGGGCATAATTCTCCTAGCTCGGGGACGGAAACAGAATTTAAATCGAAGAGAAGATCTCAGATTAGTACTTCGAGCAGTTCGGTACCAGCTGACGGAAGTACTCACGGATCGACACCAACCCCTCCGCCCCTTCCCGAGAGAACGGATAGCCTAAATAATCGCAGCGAAGAAGCGGAATTGCGCAAAGCTCCCTGGTTTCAAGCTGGAATACCAAGGTACTAATCATCCTTTCCTAAAGTTTTATTCGGCATAACTTTTGCAATAAGATTTTTGTATAACATATTATATAGTTTTGGAAATGAATATCTAACAAAGTTATAATTTCATAATTAATATTTTTGAATATTATAAGTAGGTAGTTGGTCTACATTTTCACGGTGTTATGTAATTAGTTATGTCATTATAGTCTTTTACTGTTCCAGGGAAATAACGTTGGAGGTGTTGAGCCAAGAACCGGAAGGAGCGTTCATGGTGCGGGAGAGTACCAGTAAACCCGGATGTTATGCCCTTTCGCTTCGAGTGCCGCGCGAATTCCAACCAAGCGGAATAGCCCATTATCTTATAATGCGTACGAACAAAGGCTACAAAATTAAGGTAAATCTCGCCTCGAGTCTTCGCGGAGCGATTCTTCTTAATCATCGTCAGTATTTAATCAGAATGATTAACACTTTTGCCGCCACACACGTTTTCAAGCAAGATACCCTTTTCTCTAATACGTTGCGAATAGAATAAATAAGGGCTGTTTGACACTAGAACTACCGACGTCCAATTTTTAAGTTGAAAATAATATAGGAAATAAATAGATAAGGGATGAAACATAATTTAATATACACATCTTCTTTATCTCGGCAATAGCCAACATACATGTCAGTAAAAATACCTTAATAAAATTTCTAAATTAAAATAAGAAACTTGAAACCAATCATTTTGACCGGTTTGGTAGTTCTAATGTTAAAACTAAATCTTGCACATGAAATAGCTTGTACGTTGATCGTCAAAGAGTAATATTGTTTGAACCCCAACTATCTATTCTGAAACATCATAATGAGGATACTGTAGAAGGACAAAGCTTCTCTAGTTGCGGATTTCGCCATTTGGGTATGCGTATTTAAATGACCGAACTTGCCTTGTAGGATAAATTAAACGGGTTCGTGGACTTTGATAATCTCCGAAACCAGTATAAATGAGTTTTGTTGGATGTACCGCAGGGAAATCAAAACTCTCCCCCACTCTTTTCGTTTGGAATTGCATTGCCGTAGCAACACGCTACGAAATGCGAATATATACGGCATGTGATAATTTTAACATACATATGAAGTCTAATGTTCAATTGATCAATGGAATGAATTCCATTTTTTGTGTCCTTCTATTATGGAGAACGTCGTGCAACCCTCGGACGATGCGGCGGACCGTGGAGAGAGCCCCAATGTTAATTTAATTTTGCACTTCATATTATTTTCATTTTCTAAATTTTATACTGTTCCTCTAAATGTTATTTTCAAGAGTTAAAAAGTACATTTATATAGGGTAAAGGATCCATATACCGGACATGGTGTTATATCGAATTTTAAATGTAACTATTCCTTAGTCATTTTGATAATGAAAATGGTCGAATATCGATAACTGCAAGAACCAGAATTTCCATACATTTTATTTTAATTCCCTAAATTAGTAATTGCAAATAACATGAAGAGAATACTACATTTAAATCTTTGAAAATTAATATTGTATTCGTTAATAGAGTACTGTTCGGTATCCCGGTCCTTTTTTATAGAATAAAGAAAAAATGAAAATGACAAATGTTTCTTTATTTGTTCCAGGGCTTCACGAAGGAATTCACAACCCTAACCGCTTTAATTACTCACCACTCGGTGATGCCGGAATTACTGCCGTGTCCATTGTCATTAAGTCGATACAATCCTAGCTTTGTGAAAAGCGACTCTAACAAAGACTTCGCAGACATCGATTCGGATCCCGATTACAATACCTTAGCCGACTTCCGTAAAATGATGGCTGACCTGAATGTCTAGAATGAAGTTCGCAATCAAATCGGGGAAAAAAATCGATCAATACATTCACCGATGCTCTTTGAAAACGAGCAACTAAAACAAATTCGTTTCAAGGAACGACGAGTAATTGAAATACGTACTTCGATCGTGCACCAAATCGACGTAATACGATTTTATAGAGAACCTTCATCACCTTGAATTACCATGACATTTCACGCGAATCGTGCTCGTCGATTAACTAAGGAATTTTCTTTGCTAATTGATACCGAGTGAAAAATGCCGTACGTTCAGGCGGTGATACGTATTCGTAAGTCATTGATAGGTGTAAGGAACATAGCCTAAGTAACTTAATGAATCGCCACTATTAACGGAAACAAGAGCGAATCAAAAAGTCGGAGGACGCGCAGCAGGGAAGCCTATTCCATATTAGTAGATCAATTCACAGAGTTTGCGTTGAACAGCCGGTAACTTAGTACGAATTTAGCTGAATCGAATTGATAATCATTTGCAAACTCTCAATCCGTTGCATCAGATACATCTTAACGCCAGCTCTGTGATCGATACAATTGTTCGCAGGATTTTTCACGAACTATAGTAGCGTTTCGATCGAATGAAAGTTATTACAAGAACGAAATATTATATATTTTTCAACGATATCACAAATGTCTCTTGACTGATTTTCGTTCGGACGTTTGACGTTTTTCATTTAAAGGTCAAAGTTTGCGAACGTTACTTAGAAGTTATGCTGTATCCTCGAAATTAAACCATGAAACATTGCTAGAAAAATTTAGTCTACTAGTTTATAATTTTCAGTAACTTAAATACAATACTTTCCATTGTAATCAATTAATTTCTTGGCGACTTTTTCAAAATTCCACCGTTCTCGATTCACGCCCGCTAAATAGTGCTTTACAAAATTAATGTAAATGTGTTTATATGTATATAAATTATAATTATTGTTATACAATACTACTTATATTTAATTACACGAGATCGACGGCAGCGTTAGGGAGAACTGCAGCCACGAAACTCTAACCGGACACGGAGGCGGAGGTGGATTCCATGGAACTTATTATAATGATAAGACGAAGAAATGTAACCTTGCAGTGGTAATTTAATTACACGACTAAACTAGTCTTGTACAGAGTTTATGTGAGCATAGTAAATATTAAAAAAGAAAAGAAACGAATCGAATAAAAAACTAAAATGTATGATCATGTGTGTGTATTAACAGATGTTGATGAACAAAACCGGAAAAACTTTGTGCGGTTTTTATATACCCAAGAATATAAAAAGTTTAAAAAAATGCTTATTGAACGATATGGCACATTGAATCAGATTTAACGAACGGCATAATACCGTCGATTTATCCTACAAAGCATAGATGAGACAGCTGGTGATCAATAAATAATAAAATAGTAATATTTTAATAAGAAGTTTACCCACGTTCGAATATCTGGTATTAAATTCAACAGACAACACTCTATATCATATTAAGATTTATATATTTAAAAGAAAAAGAATCGGATAAACGTGTTTTGCATTGATTTATTTAAACCGAAATCAACCGGAAGTGTAATATTTACCATGTAAGCTTCAGAAGTGTAGATGAAACGAAGATGCGATAACTTAAATCGCTCATTAACAGGGAATAAGATTTGCTATAATTTCAATAATTTACGAACATTCAATGTACTTCGACATCAGAAACGAGGTACAGGATTAATTTTTATATCATCAAATTGATTGACGTCTGATAAGGTAAATACGCAAAGAAACTAAGTGGAAATTAATAAATCATTGTAAGCTACTCTAAGCGAGACATTAATCACTGCTTGAAATTTGTAACGTTTTACGAATCATTATAGCAATGCGTTGTATAATTTCAATAAAATTATTTATTACAATAAACAGTGAACGAAATAGTGTAATTTAATGTCATACACATTGGCATTTATAAAATATTATCCACCTTTGAAAATGTTATATGACATTAAATCATCATCAATAAATTTAAATAAAATTTTCCCATCTTTGTATGTACACATTTTAAAAACCACCTTTCTCCTCTTTTAAAAATCAATGAAGGTAATTAAGAAAGAAATTATCTCTATGTTCAATATGTCTCAACATTTATTACGTTTTTTTATTCAATTCGTATAAAATTATTATCATAATTAACAACTCCATATTACATATCTTGTCGGAACACATGTTTTTGTCTTTCTGAAACAAAAGGTACTGCTCCAGGTTTGGAATGAGCGCGTCTATTAGCCTCCCTAAAATAAAATAATATACATATAATACAAGATATAATATTATAGGAACTGAAATCACTTTTTCTTTAGACAATTGTACGTACTTCCGTTTACTTTTTTCATGAATAGTATGTAATTCGGCCTTAGCATTATAAATATGTTTTGGAACGTGTCTATGCCGAGCAATTCGTTTTACTTGAGGATGTGCAGCAAACTTAGCTTTCAGAGCTTCATTGTACTGTAAAGCTGCTTTTTCTCTAGGTTTCAGCTAGAATAATATATTTCATTAACGAAAGGACCAGAGAAAATTATTCGTGAGAAGGTAAATTCTAAAATTACATACAGCACCAAGTTTTTCTGAAGCTCTTGCTTTCCAGACGCGAATATTCATTTCATCGCTACCGCTCATGATGTATTTATTATCAAGAGACCATGCAACACATGTTAGTCTTTGCATACGTCTCGTATGATAAACTTCTCGAGAATGACCTTTGTTGGCTTCAAAAATACGAACAGATTTATCATAACTACCGGATACAAATTCTCTACCAGTTGGAGCATAATCCACATCTACTACTGCTTCCACGTGGTCCTTATGGACATTTACTGGTGTCTTCAATTTTCGAATGTCAAAAGTATACAAGCTGAAGAGTAGAAAGTATTAATCAGTAATTCTTAACTACATTCTAAGCAATATAACATTTCTTCAGAACATACTTGTAATCTTCATTAGCACAAGTAAATGTTACTGCTTCCATGGGATTCCAAGACAATTTATTAGACTTTAATCCCATGTATACTTTACGTAGAGGGCCAGTTTCTCTAGCATCATACAAAATTATGCTTCTATCACTTGCACAGGCAGCTGCAAAATATTTGTAGATTTGTAGAATTTCAGTGTATAATAATTTTCATTATTTTATATAATATTTGTTACCAAATAAGTTTGATTGAACAGGATTGTATTTAACATCATATAAACTATCAACTCCCCATTTAAATGTACGGATTGGTTCATTTCTAGTTTCTTCCCATAATTGACATACTTCACCACATGTTGCAAATATAGGTTGTGTACGATGATGAGTAATTCCTGTTATTATAGTCTGTAAAATATTTCTTTATAACATTTAACACAGTATGTACAAAAAATTAGTTTTACTTTTTAATGTTTAAAATCTTACTTTACTGATAATTGTATTTATAGGTTCTTCTTCTTCACCAAATTGTGGCTTTTCTGATTTCCATACTTTAATAGTTTTATCATCAGCAACAGTAATAAACTGTTCGGCATCTACTCCGAATGCAATTCCTCTTACTATACCATCGTGTGCCAAAAAATTACGTACACAATTTTTTTGAGTAAGATTCCATACTCTAACTTCCCCATCGAAAGCTCCACTAATAACTATCGACAATTGTGAAGGATGTTTACACAAGCAAGACACTCCATCTTTATGACCCTCCAAACTTTCAACAAAGGGTTTTGCAAATACTTTTTCCAATTTTACTGCATTCAAGGCTCTAGTATATTCTCTTGCTGCATCAAATGGATGCAATGCAGGATCATAATTTCTAGGTACTGTAGATAATTAACATTATTAATTATTATTAAAATCTATAAAAATGTTTATATAAGGGCTTTAACAATTAGTTTAAAGTTATACATGTTAAAACGAAACTAACGTTTATGAATATCACGCTTTGTTTCTCTTAGGTACTCATCTGGATTTCTTGTCAAAACTTTCACCTTCATTTTCAAAGTATGTATTGAAATTTAAACTACTGTGTACTATGCGCAATAAGGTGATGTAGTATAGCATGCCGTTAATTGATAGCATGCGATAACTGAGGTGGCGCTTAAATCAGTTTCTATTCGGTCTAATTTTTGATGAAACGATGACTGTTTTACCGACGCGGAATTCGAAGTTCAGCCTCCACGCTAGCATCGTCTTATGCCTAATTCACAGAATAAGGTCAGTAGGAATCTGACACTCCCCTAGAGGTCTTAGTTATTTATTCTAATCGTTCCCAGTTATTTATCATCGTATTTCTCTTTATGGACCAAGGCATCCCTTCGCAATTATTTATTTTTTTCATTCTTTTTATGGAACTCGCGGTGACCCACATCCCGGCTTTCTTTATATTCCTGCATCCTTTACATCTCTACTTTCCTCACATCCTTGCATCCTTTACATCTCTGCATTCCTCACATCCCAACAGCCTATAAATCCCTGCATTCTGCACTGCCCTGCATCCATTCCATACATGCATCCACTCCATGCCTGCATCCACTCCACGCACGCATCCATTCCATGCCTACATCCATTCCATGCCTGCATCCACTCCATACCTGCATCCATTCCATGCCTGCATTCACTCAATGCCTACATCCCTTACACCTCAGCAATCATAACCTAGCATAAATTTCGAGACCTCTAGCGGCAAAAATGTGAACTAAAATCTCGATGTCGAATCAGCGCCCTCTGGTGGCGAAAAAGGGAACTAAACCGGGCTCGATTTCTGGCCCTCTAGCGGCAAAAATGTGAACTAAAATCTCGGTGTCGAATCAGCGCCCTCTGGTGGCGAAAAAAGGGACTAAACCTGGCTCTATTTCTGGCCCTCTGGCGACGAAAATGCGAACTAAAATCTCGATGTCGAATCAGCGCCCTCTGGTGGCGAAAAAAGGGACTAAACCTGGCTCTATTTCTGGCCCTCTGGCGACGAAAATGTGAACTAAAATCTCGATGTCGAACCAGCGCCCTCTGGTGGCGAAAAAAGGAACTAAACCTTGCTCAATTTCTGGCCCTCTGGCGGCAAAAATGCGAACTAAAATCTCGATGTCGAATCAGCGCCCTCTGGTGGCGAAAAAAGGAACTAAATCTTGCTCAATTTCTGGCCCTCTAGCGGCAAAAAAGCGAACTAAAGTTTTCACGTCGAAACAGCGCCCCCTGGCGGTAAAAATGATAACTAAATTTGGTGCGATTTATACTCTCTGGTACAGGAATATAAGGAATGCAAAGCGGTACTGGGAACTGTAGGTGATGTAGGTGATGCAGGAATGTAAAGGATGCGAGGATGTAAGGGATGCATACATATATGGGATGTAGGAGTTTAAGTGACACAAAGATGTAAAGGATGCTGAAATGTAAGTAATAGGGGGATGTAACTGATGCAGCGATGTAAAGGGAGCAGTGATACAAAGAATTCAGAGATGTAATGGGAGTAGTGATATAAAGAATTCAGAGATGTAAGGGAGTAATTTCCGTGAGGCTCGTGAAAAGAATGAAGAAATAAATAACTGCGAAGGAATGTCTTGGTCCATAAAAAGGAATAGGGTGATAAATTACTGGGACGTGTCGTCCCCGCGTGTCCCATAAAGAGAAATAAAATAATAAGTAATTGGGAAGCATGGGTCTTAGCCCATAAAGAGGGATAAAATAATAAATAACTGAAAAAAGTGAAATAAAATCATAAATATTCGAGAACAGAGGGATGTCCAGTCTTTTTGTATCTGCAGTCACTGCATAGGAGGAGAGCTGGTAATCCGGGGAAGCCCACGAGGAGGGATCGCCATTTTCCCTAGGAATGTCTTCTGTGACCTTTTATTGTGGCTGTTTACTATGTATGCGAACATGGGAACGCATATTTAAGTACACCTGTGTCAGAATTAGCGTTACAATTTCAAGCATACTGTCGATACAAAACGTCTCATTTTTCAACCTGAAAAGTCGAAAAAGTCGACACTGCTGTAAAAAAAATCAAAATTGAGTTTTATAAGTCCTAAGAGCGTTTTACCGCTCTTCAGAAATGATGTCTCTGCTATCGCATCGACCGCTTCAGTTGAGCGTGGTTGAACGCTGAAGTCGCTAAATTGGAAGCACTTTAGGTTACCATTAATTGTCAAATAAATAAAGACAATCAATAGATATTTTACATTTTTTGTTTTTTCTTTGAATGACAATAAAAGATCCATCAAAATGCCACGTATTATGATAAAAGGTGGTGTTTGGAGAAACACCGAGGTAAGATTTAAATCCTAACCTGAAGTGTGTATTTTCCTAGATAAAGCATTTTCTAAATTACATTTTTCTTCAGGATGAAATTTTAAAAGCTGCTGTTATGAAATATGGCAAAAATCAGTGGAGTCGGATAGCATCTCTTTTACACAGAAAATCTGCTAAACAATGTAAGGCACGTTGGTTTGAATGGCTAGATCCAAGCATCAAGAAAACTGAATGGAGCAGAGAAGAAGATGAGAAGCTTCTTCATTTAGCAAAACTAATGCCCACACAGTGGAGAACAATTGCACCAATTATTGGTCGTACAGCTGCACAATGTTTGGAACGTTATGAATATTTACTGTGAGTTGTAAATGATTTAATTGGATTAATGTCTTCACAAGTATGTTATATGTCTTTTATTTTTATATTAGTGATCAAGCTCAGAAGAAGGAAGAAGGAGATGATGCTGCGGATGATCCTCGTAAATTAAAACCAGGAGAAATTGATCCAAACCCAGAAACAAAACCTGCAAGACCTGATCCTAAAGATATGGATGAAGATGGTAAGATTTCTATATTATAATGTATAATTTTATTATATGTAACAACAATAAAATTAGTAATTTCCAGAACTTGAAATGCTGTCCGAGGCACGTGCTAGGCTTGCAAATACACAAGGTAAAAAGGCAAAGCGTAAAGCCAGAGAAAAACAATTGGAGGAAGCTCGCAGACTCGCTGCTCTGCAAAAACGTAGAGAATTAAGAGCTGCTGGTATCACTGTATCACAGAAAAATAAACGAAAACGTGGTGTTAATTATAATTCCGAGATTCCTTTCGAGAAACGACCAGCATCTGGATTTTATGATACATCTAATGAACATGTTGATCCTCTTGCTATTGATTTCTCAAAAATGAGACAGCAACATTTAGATGGTGAATTGAGGCAAGAGAAAGAAGAAATGGAACGTAGAAAAGATAAGCAAAAATTAAAACAACGAAAAGAAAATGATATCCCGATGGGAATGTTAAATAACGAAGAGCCAATAAAGAAAAGAAGTAAACTTGTTTTGCCAGAACCTCAGATATCTGATCAAGAATTACAGCAAGTGGTTAAACTCGGTAGAGCATCAGAGGTATATTGGAACTATTTATTAAAAATTATTTAATGATTGAATAAGTATTTGAACTTTATAATAATTTTCAATAGGTTGCTCGCGAGGTTGCTACCGAGAGCGGTATTACGCTATCAGATAGTTTACTTGCCGATTATTCTCTACCGACAAATGCAGCCGTAACTCCTCGCACCCCGGCTGCTGCAGACCGAATTCTCCAAGAAGCTCAAAACGTTATGGCTCTCATTCATGTTGATACTCCATTGAAAGGTTGACGCGTTGTTGGTATACTTTGGTTTGTTAACAACATACACAAAATATTAATTTTTCTTTACTTTTGTATAGGTGGATTAAATACTCCTTTAAATAATTCTGATTTCACTAGTGTCGTGCCTTCAGCAAACGCAGTGGCAACACCAAATACAATTTTAGCCACGCCATTTCGCTCTCAACGTAGCGACGGAACGCCCGCTAATTCGTTTAACACACCAGTATCCGCACGTACACAAAACGGAGTTTTAGCAACGACACCGGTTCGCGATAAACTTAGCATTAATCCAGACGAAAACGTAGAAGGATCAGAGACTCCGTTAATTCAAAAGCAAGTGAAAGAACAATTACGTGCCGGTTTGAGTTCCCTACCAGCACCGCGTAATGATTATGAAATAGTTGTTCCTGAAGGTGAAACAAAAGATGAAACCACTACTTCACCTACGACGGAAATTGTTGAAGATCAGGCTGATATTGATGCTAGACAGCAGCAAGAATTATTGGAACAAAGTACTTAACACATTTTTATTTATATACAGAATAGCTCATTTTATGTGAATCATTTATAATAAAATTATATTTTACAGAGAAAAAAGAATTAGCTCGTAGGTCACTAGTTATACAACGAGATTTACCACGACCGTTTGATGTAAATATGAATATTTTGAGACCATTTATGGATACTCCGTTAACGGATTTACAAAGAGTATGATCATATAATTGATAAGTATACATATAGTATATATTTATATAACAATACGATTATTAGCAAATATTTTATCGTAGGCGGAAGAGTTAATTAAAAGAGAAATGATCACGATGCTCCAATACGATTCACTGCAAAACCCAGTGCCACAAAGTCGTAAAGGTGCTTCAAGCTCGCTAGCTCATGCACAAGCGTATTTGGAGCAACATCCATATATTAATTTTGAGGAAGATGAACTTACTGCTGTAAGTTGACCGTATTATACGCAGTGTTTAACGTATATCATTACACTCCATGTTTGTATTTTATTCAGGCTAAGAAGCTGTTGACTGATGAGATGTCGGTGGTAAAAGATGGCATGGCGCATGGAGAATTAAGTTTAGATTCCTATACAACTGTCTGGGAAGAATGCTTATCACAGATATTGTATCTGGAAACACAAAAACGGTATACGCGAGCAACGCTAGCTTCGAAAAAGGATAGAGTAGAAGCGTGTGAAAGAAAATTGGAAGAGAATCGAATGCATATGACCGGCGAAGCTAAACGGGCAGCCAGAATGGAAAAGAAATTAAAAGTTCTTACCGGAGGTTACCAGGTATTTTCGTTTTTAACCCTTTCGCTGCCACGGGAATTTTTGAACTTGCACTAGTGGGCCACAAATTTCATATTAAACATTTTATAATGGCAAAGAACTGCAAAATATATTAAAATAACAGTACAATCTTGCCAATAGCACATTTTTCTTATCGTTAGTGGTGGTCATCGATGACCACCATGATCCAAATGAAAAGACAAGCGCCGGTCCCATGGGACCACCGTGGTAGCGAAAGGGTTAATATACAACATGTGTATTGTTACTTGTGTGGCTAATATTAATATATCTATTTCCTTTATAACAGACTAGGACGCAAGTACTAACAAAACAATTACACGATTTGTGGGAACAAATAGAACAAGCACATTTAGAACTTTCGACGTTCAAGTTTTTGCAAACACAAGAGGAAGCAGCGGTGCCGAGGAGAGTAAACGCGCTTATGGAAGATGTTAATAGACAAACAGAACGAGAACGCGTGTTACAAACACGATATGCACAGTTGCAAGATCAGCTACAACAGTGCTAAATATTGCCAATCTGATTTATTGTAATATATATTTAAAGTATCGTAAACGTTTTGTGAAATACAAGAAGTTACTTTGTATACAGACTTACTAAAAAAAATGCTTCGAGTAAGCAAAGATTCTTGAAGATCTCAATTTTGTATAATAAAATACGATTTATTTCAAATTGACAATTCAGCCATTTTGCAGGCGGTGAATTTCATGTGAATATAATTTACGAAAATTTTAAAACATAAAAATTAGCATAAAAAATAAATAAAGGAATATGAGAAATAAATGAAAAAGTATGGTTGTACGTCTGTGTTATCATTTTCCCATTCAAATGTTGGTTATAGTTTAGAGTTTCTATTAATTGAATTCTTGAATGATCAGTTTTTACAGTATTTATTTTTATTACAATAATTTATAAATATTAAAAACTATAATGAATATTAACGTAGTAACAGTAAAAAAGTATTCAATGTATATCTTAAGTATAAATATAAAGTACTACGAATACGGTAATACATCTCACGTTGACCGTAAACTGGGAAGTGAAAATCAGCGAAAATGGACAATTACTATTTCTTGAGCCTTGCGGCTGGTTTTGATTTCCGGCGACAAGTAAAAGAGAAACCGGTGGACAAAGTGAGTAGAACAACATTGGGACAACGTGAAAGGCATTACTGTACATTATAAACATTTTAAAGCCATGGTCTCCATCCCGCAGATGTCCTACCCAAAATATTAAAATCAGTTGCTTGATCTAATAAGCATTCAACCTAGAAAGAAATAATTTTGTTAATAAATCACTATAAGAGTAATGCGTTGTAAAGTTACCTGTTCTTCGGGAGTTAAAAAATTATCCTTCATTTTAGCTCGAGTTCGTTTAATATCGTCATCACCAGTAACTATAGCGCGATATCTATGAATACATGCATCATTATGTTGTTCTTTTAATTGATCTAACGTGATTAAAGATGGCTTAATTCCATTCAATTTCTTTATGACTGCTTCAATTTTTTTCATCGGTACCCATTTGACATCTATAAATTCAATTAAATGAACATAAGTTAAAGCAATAATAATAAACTACCATAATAATGAAAGTTTAAAAATAACCTGCAACATCCTCTTCATTTTCTCTTAACGTTTTATTGATGTGTTCAGTCCAATTTAATGGTTCATGAACGAACACATCCATGCAAGATAATATAGGTCCTTGTTCATTTCTTATTGCACGTAAAGTGTGAATCATTATTGCTCCCAAAAGATCTTTTTTACTGAAAGGTTTCAGTAGACCCAGAATCTGAGGCGTTAAACGGAAAGGCATCAATTCAGGTATTCTTTGATCAACGCCAGCATCAAAAGCCAGCCCAAAATCGATGCCTAAACAACGTCCTGAATCGACATTGATAAGTGTATTTTCTAAATGTCGATCACCGATACCTAAGGTCCAATGTGCAATACACATAGTAGCATAAGAGGTGATAAAATTCTGACGCATTGTAACAAAACTCTCTACTGTTGGACACAATGCACTGAATGTCCTACGTAAACTGTCCCATTCTGTTTTACCGATAAGTTCATTCATTTTAGTAGTCACTTTTACAGCATTATATTTCATTACTGCCTCCTTGTACCACTCGTGCTGTCTTCCGGAATTTGTAGCACTTCGTATCCATTCTACATACTCTTTAAGTATGGAATTGCATCGACTTGTCTCTTGGCTTGACAATGTAAAGTATATTGATTCATTTAAAGTTCTTGTATTATTTACCCATTGTATAAGACCCACAGTTCTGGACAGTGGAATTACCTAGATTATAAATAATTTATTATTAGGCAGGAAATATAAAAAATAACTAGCTAATTAGCATTTACCTGATAAGTATCAATAGACAATTGCCTTTGTCTACAAGCCGGATCAACGTGTAATATTTTATTCATAGTTGAAAGCAATTGTTGCAATCTTTGATCCTGTCTCAGATCCTCTCCAAATTTCACTAAGAAATAATATTCTTTACCGTCGTTACCTAACATAGTAATTCTAATTGGTTTCCTTAGCGACTGCATCACCTTCACAGAAGGTTCTATTTTCATAATTTTCACATGATTTTGAGGAATGGGTCGCCTGTTACCGGTATACTGTCCAGGTATTTCTATGTTTTTCTCTGAAAAATTATACAACCATGGACTGTAATCGATCAGCTTATATTTATTTTTGCGTCTGTTAAGTGATTCCTTAATCTGTTCAACCATCTGAGCTATTTGTCGTTTAATTTCTTCAGGTTTCTTGCGTTCTAATCCCTTTATCTGATTTTTATATTTGGTAATCTCGTTGAAGATGCTTCCTGGTTTTATACTATCCCTGTTTGCACGCAGATTTGGATATACCTTATTCATAAATATATCTATAGCTGTGGATGTTCCAAGTGGTAAATTTTTAATTAGCTCCGCCAAGTAATATATCAAATACAGCTCTGGTTGAACCACATATTGCATTGCCGCTAAGAACCGCTCGATCCATGGTCTGTTATAAAGAATTTGTCTGATCTCGTACGTCCTGGCATCGTTCAAAAGAACCGGATTCGTTTCCATGGTCAAGTGAAACGTATAAATGATAGCATCAGGATAGGTTTCAGCGATTCGTTTGAGAATCGGTATGATCAATGGAGATATAGATGTTCCCAAATGTGAGAACAACTGAGCTTGCCAAGAAAGGAACAACCACGTCTGTACATGCTCGGTGTGTTTCGTGAAAATATCTTTAGTCTCTTGATCTTCAAAGTACTCAGGTTTCAGCAAACAAGGAAAATAGTGTGCTGCTTCACAAGATCCATGTATCATTGCCTTCAATGTACACCTAACAAATTCTCTGATCAATTGAATATCTTTTGAGCCACGTGATAATTTTTCATAACAATATTTTGCGAATGCATAATAACTTTCATCTTTGCTCGATACCTTTATACTGCAACACGTTGCCAAGTTATTAAAACTGTAGCTTTCCAGTGAATCTTTGATTGCAGCTAAGTCACTATTCTCAGCCTTTATATCTTTCAGAACAATTGCGTTTGTCGTCAACAATGTTGAAAACGTTTCATCCTCTTCGCTTAATTTCACAAGTTTCGACGCTATATTACTAATTTGTTTTCTAACACCTACATTCACTACGGGGCTAAGATTATCTTTCTGCAGGAGATTATGACAATGCTTCCAGGATGAGGTATAATTTGATAATTTCTTTTCCACGCTCGTTTCAAGTTCTCCCATTAAATATTTCAGCTTTGCACCGGATAATAAAAATTGTTGCAAGCTATCTTCATTTGGTAGTTTGTTTTGCTCTATTTCCTTTAAATATTTCTTTGCTATGTATTTATGTTTCTGATTCAACGATGCCTCGACCATTTTTAATCTCATATTAAAGGTAACCGCTTGCAATTTCTGATTGATTTCATTCTCTTCTTCGTCGCACGTGCTCTGCGTTGAATCTTGTTCCAATTCTTTTAATTTATCATCCAGCACCGAGTTGATAAAGGATGTTCTATAGGACATTAATTTGTCCCATGGAAGTAAAGCATCCTGAGGTGAAGGTACGCTGCTGTTCCAAATCTTTAAAGTAATCTCCATGTCACTTGCATTATCTCTCGTTTTCATCAGCTTTATATATCTATTAACATCATTGACTATTCGCAATGTTTGCAATTTACGAATTCTTAATTGAGTGGAAAGTGGATGAAGCTCGATCCATTCTTCCTTCATCTCGTCCAAAGTGTTCAGTAAAAAGTCATTAGAAACTTCTAATTGTTTGTTCCATAGGAAGAACATTGATAATTCCTCCCCGAAGAATCGCTTGATGTGCTTCACTTTTATCTCATCTTTCAACCAAGTCTCTACTGCCTCTATATCATCCTTAAACTCGTTACTATAACTACCACTTACCAATTTGTGAGCAAATACCTCAAACAACCACGGGAACATCCAATCTTTCCAGGGATCGTCCCAAATATTGTTTATATTTTCATTTAATCTATTTTTTATGTGCTTATCGATTTCGTCCCAAGTACACAAGTTGCTTAAGCATTCAAACAAACCTTGGAGACAATGTTCTTTGATCAATTCCGGTTCTACTTCGTACGCTTTTTCGTATGCTACCTTTGCTTTAAGCCAGTTGTTGGATATTTGTGCAAATGAGGCAGTCTGGAATCAAAACAAATAGCTGTTAGTATTAAAGTTACAAGAAGAACTACCCAAGTGTTACACTCACTTATCAATGAAACTTTGCCAGCTTGTAGAGCTCGTCGAGCTGAACACGTCTCTACCCCGTTCTGTGGGCAGACGGCTAATTGTTTAAAAGTTATTAACAATTACAGTTAGTTACTCCTTACATTCTGAAGTATGACAAACTCACACATACAATTTAAAAAAAAAAAAAAAAAAAAAAAAAAAAAAAAAAAAAAAAAAAAAAACAGTACCCAGGGGATTTGAACCGAGGACCTTTAGATTGCGAGTCAGGTGTTTAACCGCGGAGCAGATCTGTCACTTACAATTTGAAGCTCCTCGGTTCAAATCCTTGGTTCACAAAAAAATTTTTTTTTTATGATAATTTTTATGTAATAGTTATTTAAAAAGAGACAAGTTATCATTAAAAAAAAAGAAAAAAATGGTGGGAATTAAGGATTTGTACCGTGGATCTCTAGATTGCGAGTTGTATGTGCGAGTCTGTCATACTTCTCAATGTAAGTAGTAACTAACTTTAATTATTAATATCTTTTAAACAATTAGTCTTCTACCCACAAAACGGGGTATATGCGTGTTCAGCTCGACGAGCTCTACAAACTGGCAAAGTTTCATTAATAAATGAGTGCAAGTCTTGGGTAGTTCCCCTTGTTAAAGAAACAGATTAGTTTGCTATTGGTTTTGATTCTGATATACCATAGGAAACAAAGAGTAAAGGATGAAATACTTGAGAAAATATTCATACCCGTATATCATCGTGTGTAATGTGATTTTGAAAAATGCTGAGGACCACATCAACATTATTCATTGACTGATAAAGGTTCGTTAACTGCAGCCATTCAGATGATGAATCATTTATACCCTCGGTTCGCGGTTTCTTTGTTGGTGGCCCAGACACATCCGTACCATAAATTAAGTATTCCTCTAGAACAAGTGATCCAAGGAAGTTCAAACAGTTGGATCTTGAAGCCTTTGCGATAACTTCCGGCGAGCAATTTACTATACGAGTTTCCAACAGTATTTCCAAAATCGCCCTTGTGGTGGAACTCGCTTGTTCATTCTCAATGATCCCTTTTAAACTGTTCGCAGTTTGCTCCATAAAATCGTTGTGTTTGCTCTCTTTCAATAACGAGCATACGATAGAAACTATTAAATCCTTGCAAATCAATAAGTCTTTCGTTGCTAATTGTTGCAATGGTTCGATCAACGAGGCGTGTGATATTTCAATGTCTGGAAAATCACCGATTCTGTATTTTCGATACAATTTAACGCTGTTTCTTTGCCGAGTTTTTTCCTCTTTTATCATTCGATGCCGATGGATGTTCTTTTGTATTTCCTTTTCACGTGCGGTCGCTGAAACTTCATGCGAGTTAGCTATGAACCGTGGGGAGGTTTTGTTGGAAGAAGGTTGAAGCAATGCTGGTACTTTAAATACACCATCATATTCTTGTGGTTGCATGGATTCTCCGTCGATATAAGTCGGTTCAAATTCAAGATCCTGAGTCGCTTGAAGTTGTAGTTGAGTATTAGGATCATAAGTAAATGCACTGCTTATTTGAGTGAACGTCTGATTCATTTGGCTGGTTAATGATGCCGCAAAGAGTGGAGCTTTTGATCCTAAATTTTTAGTTCTCCACGAGAGAGCTATTTTGTAATCTCTGTAACTACAATTGTGTAAAGGTTCAAACAATTTCTCGTTGTAATTACTTGACTTTTTAGGAAGGTCTAAAATCATCAAAAGTATAAATGGAAGAAAATTATTGCTAACAGCAGGTGTGCATTTGGATAGAATTTCAAGTAATCTTTCTTTACAAGTATTTGTTAACTGTGCATCCTGGGTCCAAAAGTCCAGTATCTTGTTTTGTAATGTCTCAGAAGGATCCAAAACACCATTAAGCAATACTTCTGTGCTGAGAAGCATCAGCTTTTTTATATCATCATCGTTAGAAGTGTCTGTAACATATTTTATATAAATCCTTTTAAATATGCTGTAAGCTAGTTCTCTGTACTTAGATAATTCATTTTTTGTATATGGTGGTACTAAATTTGCAAATGTTAAAATATTTGATGGTGGAAGAATAGGAGCCAAGGAATCGATGATTTTTAACGCTACCTCCTCACAAAGTAAAACCTTATTCTTCAATATATCAGCGAACTTCATATAATCTAGTTCATTTAACATTTCATTTATGCTAAGACTCGGTATACAGTGTAAAAATATTTCCAGACAATTTGATCTACTCAAAGCATCCACTTTGAATATATTTGAAAAGGCAATTTCAAAATAAATCTTAGCCGCTTTTTGATAATTTTTACACAGTGCAAGAATGCATTTTATTTGTCTGCTTTCAAATTTCGTTTTCATCTCTCTCAATATTCTTCGAATGTTACCGATTATTCTTTCCCTTAATTCATCATTATCTTCTACAAACTCTAAGATCAAACCAAAACATTCACAGGTTTGTAAAATTTTTTCTTCATCAGTTTGCCACTGTTTCAATGTATTCTCCAAAAATTCTATGATGTCATTTCTCTGAATGATGTCTTTCTTCAATTTGCTATCTAAACAAATTAATATCAAATTTACTGTGGATTCAGGTGCAACTTTCATTTTATTCTCTAATTTTTCAGGTACTTTCAGATAATCACTCCATGCTTGAAGTATCCGTTTTATCAACTTCATATTATACTTATAGACACTTTTGGAAACTTCTGTGGTTCTTTTTATTATTACTTTATCAATTATTATTTCCCAGAATTGTTGTACTATAAGTTTACCATTGTGTGCATTAAATTGGTATTCAATCTTATCTCGTGAACAGATAAACTGCCAACTTAGCAACATCTCTACAATGTCAAGAATAATATAGTTTAATCCATTTTTTTTCAAATATATATATACCGTATACATTATTGGCTCCATAAAAAATTTCACATAAGATTTAAACACGTCTTGCATATTGAAGACAATTTTCAACATGAACAACCTAACGTTATTACATTCTGCTGATACCACAGAATTAAGAAAGGCCTTCAGCCACTTTGGCATTGTAACATCAGCCTCATCTGTAGATGGTACAGATATTTTTTCTGATGCTATGTAGTTAAAAACTCCACAGATAGAAGCCATACATTCATGATTATTTAGCTCGTCACTTTCAAAAGTTAAACTCATACTTTCTTCTTCGGTATTGGATACATTACGCAAGGTAGTTTCATTAAAATCATAAGCATTTATATCTTCATTCAAAGTACAAGTAGAAAAATCATTGCAATTAGAAGATGAGTACTGTGAAGACGTTTTTCTATCGTTCGTCTTTTTTCGTATATTAATCAATTTCTTAATATTTTTTGGACGTTCATTAACCATTTGTTTAAATTTATATTGTTTCCAATCCACAATATTTTCCCAAATTAACTGTCCCTTCTTCCTGTTCTCAGCAAAAATACTTAAATATGAATTTTCGTCTTTTTTTAAAGAACATACCATACTTATACAACAGTTATATGCAGAACAATGCAACAATCTTATTATTTCTTTGTGTTCAGGATCAGGTGTCTTTAACGTACGTATATTTAATACATTGCTGTACAAACTTTGTATAAGTTCTTTTCCAGTGGCCACACTATCAATAGCATTTCGAGTAATTATGCTTTCCGTGCTATCTATATCACCTATATTTATTTTTGCAAACATAATTGTAATAAGATTATAACATCCTATTTTTGATACTACAAGCTGCTTTATATCTGAACTATTTCCAATAAAGCTTTGACAAATGATCGTATGTATTTCTTTGATATTTCTTTCAAAAAATTCTCGTGTTTCAGGAATTTTGCAAAACTGAAACGATGGTAAAAGAAACTTATGCAATATATCGAATCTCTCATTTGTAGGTGAATTTTTCAAAAATAATTTGTATGCTGATTCAATAGACTGCATAACATATTCAGTGGTAATTAAGTTAAAATATTTTTCTAGATATTCATTCGTCTTTTCATTACACAAATATTCAGCAATACCAATTGCGAATAAAATGATAGTCTCATAGACTGTAACTGATTTGGTAACTGGTAACAATGTTAACAATGTTTGGAAATAATTAATTACTTTTGTAGCTTTCACGTTTCTTTGATCAAAGTCACTTGGACTTACATCTGTTCTATAGCTTTTTAAATTACGTAAAATAACAAGTAACTCTGGTTTTGCAGTAGATGTCATATCAGTCAGACAAACGAGGAAATTCTGAAGAATTTGAATGTTGTAATCTATGTTAGAACTCTCCATCAACTGACTAAGAATCCACAGATAAAAATCTTTATTCAGAGACAACACTTCTATTGGCTTGAGCATCAAATGCACTGCAATTCCAAAAATGTTTATTAATTTCTGTTTCCTATCTTCAAAATTATTTACAACGTTTTCGAATAATGTGAATTTCTTAATCACACTGTTTACTAATGTTTGCGTACTATCGCGCAATTCCTTTTTATGTTGTCGCACAAACAACAATAATTGCTCCAATATCGTTAAGAAAAGAGATGGATTTCCTTGCAATTGTTCGTTCAACAATTGTACAGTTTGTTCTGGATCTATTAACATGTATCTAAATATTTCGTACTTGAACATTTGTAGGAAGTATATGCCGTATGCAATGTTCTTTGAGTCTTGTAAAACCTCTGTATCATTCTCGATCAATTTGATTATTGTCTTTATCATTGATGGCTTATAATGTACAAACAGAAATTCCATCAGAATCTCTAGATAATCTTTCACCGATGCTTTGATATTTATGCAAACAAGTTTCCTCATCTGTTCTTTTACCAAGATTTTGAAAATTTGTTTAATTCTATCTTCTGGTTGTTGGACATATTCTGTCACATTGTGTAGTTGTCCAAGAAGATTATGACGTTCCAAAAAGATCAAACCTCGGACATATTGTTTAAGAGCAATACCATTTAGGCCAGAAATAATGGTCTCCAAATCTAGGAAATGTTTTAAGTGTTTCTCTGCGTATATTAAAAGCTCACACTTAATTAGATGCCATAATGAATTATCAGTCTTTCGCGTAATCGACTGTAACAAATTTCCCATAACTACGGGAAGCGCTTCGATGATTTCAAAATTCTTTACATTAAATCCCAGAACATATGGGCACATTATGCATTTCGCAATTAATTCATAACAATCTTTGTTGAAAAAGAAATCTGGAATGAAATTTTCATCAAGACTTAATAGAATTTGTAAAAAATCAAATGTGGTTGTTACTGTTTTACATTGCAACGTCTGTAAATTATCAAATTCTTCTGATACCATTATTAAATTAATCTCTTTCTCTTCTATTTTAATTTTATTCATTAGATAAATAAAATTTTTGGCACAATTGAAAATTACCTCTCGTTTCGAATTGGAATTACCAAGTAAATACTCCACATCCAACAGATTGTTTCTCATTAGCCAAATGTAACAATCTAAACTTCTCAAAAGAGGCATTATGTTGCTAGAAGAAAGAATTTCTATCTTCGGTTTCAGATCCTGCAAGATTATAAGATTAAACGCTTCAATTTCGTGTGTGTCTATATAATTATTTATCATTGTTTTGGTTGAATCATAATCAGATACGTATATAGAAAATTTAGTAACTAATTCCATACATTTTGCTCTACAACTTTGGTCCAAGCAACCACATTGAGTAAATAACCAGTTTACTGCATCTGTTAATGTTGCATCTTCAAATTCGTGTGGCTTTTTGCGATGTTTGTATTTATCATTCAGTAAATCGTGTTTTGCTATCAGAACTCTTTCAACGTGATCGAGCGCAGTAATAATTGATATATCATTACAACCATCCAAACTTTTGACAAAGTAATACAATATTTCCAACCAATATTTGGACACAATTTCTTCATCTTCGCGAAGAATGGTATAAAGGTGATTGAACGCTGTTGCAGCTGCTATCCGTTTAAACATAGAAGGATGAAGTGCAAAATTCTTAATTTTATACATGACCTCATCAATGTTTAATAGCGTTCTGTCATCGTCTGACTGTCTCATAGACCATTTGCTAAATTCGGCTAAACATATCCCGGAAAATTCTCTGAGGGAAGAGTTTGATTCGTCACTTAAACCACTGAAAAGTGAGTCAAGAAAGTATATCGTTGCTGGAGATTTGAGCATAAATTTGGAACTCAACCAATGCGTGAGCTGAAGTATTAATGGTTGAAAAATGTTTCTAGCTGTTTCATCAAAATCACAGCCCAAATTAAGTAAAGCTGGATACAATGTTACATATATAGAAACAAATTTATCTGCATTTGTTGTTAAATGTTGTGTCGTTTTGCCAAGAATAAATGATATTATCGAATGAAGTACTTCACAAGCGCTTATTTTTATTCGCCTGTCCCCAGAATTCTGTGCTAATAGCATTAATCTTGGTAAAATTTTATCAAAACAGATATCCACTTGAGTATCCGAGAAAGTCAATGAATACTTAAGTAAATCTTTCTTATCCCAAGTAGCTCCAACATTCATAGATCTTTTGTATATAAAATTTAATATTATATCGGTATCCAGCGAAGCTATAAATAACAAAACTCTCATTTGAAATCTTTCCAAAGTATTTTCATCATCCCTTAATATTATACGTTTAATAACTTTTCGTTCTGTTTTTATAATATCTTGTAGCATTTCCGTAGAACTTTCTCCGCTTTGTAAATATGGTTCTAAGTATGGCACAACTTCTTGCAAAAACTCATGTGTATCTTTGTTGTCCAGTCTATTTGTCCATAGTTCTAATGCACTTAAAGTAGTGCAGGCTAATTCTAAATCACTTAAACCAATAGTACAAGCAATTTTAAATGCTGGAATTGTATTGTTTAATATAAGCTTCACAAAAAGGATTGGCGTATTTAGAATTAAGTTTAAACATGTGGTTAATAATTCATTAGAGAATGTAGATATCAAATGCAATACGTTCATTAAATATTTGTGTAATAATTCTAAGACTTCTGCTTCAATATCGTCTTTGCTAAAGATGCAAACGTGGTTAAAAAGTACACGTACTAATTTATAAAAGCCTGATATCAGAGGATGTTTATACGACATAATAATGATTTTCAATAGAAATTTCTGTAGGGTGTTTGTCAGCAAACAAGGTTCTATATCGTTGATTATGTCGATGTACAAATCCACGATATTAACGAACATTCTGAAATCTGCGTTATTCTCAGCAACTTGCGAGAAGGCAGCATCTGAGAATATAGTATCTTCTTTTGTTTTTGTGTTCAAGTTTAATTTACTGATTAGTACGATACCCACGTTTATCATTGAATTAGCTACTTGCTGCATAAGATTTCTGTGATTTTTGTATCTATTTGGCTTCAGAAGTTCTAACCACAGATGTAAATAATTTTTGTAAGATACTGGACTTTCTTTAAGATCGTCGATTCCTCGTTGTAATTCTGCATCAACTAACAAAGTATGCGAACATGTCCACACTACACCATCATGAACTAGATAAACATATTAAAAAAAGAAATGAAAGACAATTACATTTGATTTATGAATATGTGTAAAAAAAAGAACATATACTTACTTAAATGGTAGAGATATTCGTCTAAAATACTTTTACTAACTGTTCCAATACTAATGATTGTATTGTTCAGTGACAATATTGCAAGATTTTGAAGAAGTAGAGGAATGTCGGGATATCTTTTAACTAAAAGAATACTAAGTTTTGTAATGACATTAATCTGATCATACGATAGGTCATCTATATGTAATATAATTTCAGCAAGAGCCTCTTGATAAGTAGAAATACTTTCCAATTGAATTTGTTCTAAATTATCTCTAGAAAACATTGCATGTTAATAAATATCTATATTCAAGTATTATAAAATATAATTCATACCTGGAACAAAGTGTTAATGCATAATGAGCTATTAATGAAAACATATCTTTCACGGCTTCATTCTCACGATATTTTTTACAAGATGCAGCCATCTGACTAAAACCATACACAATAAAACGTAATATGTTGGAATTTACATGTTGATCATTTTTTAAGCGTTCCTCAAAGAAACTTATAAAATACTGAAACATAATACATGTTATAAATAACTTGAAATAACTATTTGATAATAATGAATTAATTATCCTTACCATAAATACTACTTTATCATCATCAGAAGTTTTATAGTTTAACATATGCCCCATTTCTCTGTAAAAGCGTCGTAATCCTGATTGTGCACATCGGCTACATTGTACATTTTTATCTTCTGCAACCTTTAAAAGTAGCTCATTCCAATATTTATAATCATGATAAACAAATTCACGAAAATGATGTATATGAGTTGCCAATAAATCAATTGCTGCCCTCAATGTAACTTTTTTAAATGAATATTTCTCAGGTTTGCTTAATTCTTTAACCCAATTATATATCTCTTCAGAATATTTTATTATCATTTCATTTGGAAGGCTAATTAATGTATTACGGAGGACTTCTAAATATATTTGAAATGTGTCAATGGAGCGGGCAATAGTTTCTGGATTAAACTGAAATTAAAAACTTTTAAATAAAAACTTATACATAATAAACATACAAGCATGTAATTTACCTGTTTTCTAAAATCATTTCTTAATTGCTGAAAAATTTTCTGAGAACATTCTTCTGTTTCTAACAGTTCTGGGTTACATTTTATAATTGTACCAAGTGCAGAAAAAATTAAACTTCTTTCTGTAATAAATTAATGCAACTATTTACATAACATTTCACAGATGCTATACACATTTTAATATTACCTTTTAAGTCAAGCAAAGGAAATGAAGATGTAAACTGTTCTACAGTTTCACCCAATTCAAATTCATATTCACTAAATTCTTCTATTAATTTTTTAAAGGTACTACATGCAGCTTTTCGAATAAGTGCTGAACATTGTGTTATAAGTGTCCTTTGACATATATTCTACAACCAAATAAAATTTTTATTAGATTTTTATTAAAATATACATATATTCTTTATTATGTATGAAACCTACGAAGACCATTATGCTTACTTTTGTTTCAATGAGATATGGTACAAATATGTCAGAAAACTGATCTATGATGAATTCAAGAAGACTGAATGCTTCCTTCATTGCTTTATCAAGATGCTTTTTAGTGTTAGCTCTATTAAGTTCATTGTTAAGAAACGACAGTAACCCAGTGTCTTTGTCGAATAATTTAGATAACATCAATTCTAAGCAAAAAATTAATCATTAGATTACAATAAAATGAGGATATTACACTATAACATTATGAAACAGGAAATAATATTAATCTGTTTATATGTACCACTCTCATCTTTTGATACATTTTGAAAATACGTTCTACTGTCTGTCAAAATTTCTGTCAGATTAGTGCTATTGTTTTCTTCTTTAGCACTTTTAAAAATATCCAGAAAGTTTTGAAAAGAATCCATGGTTTGCAGGTTTGATGTTTTTCAAAATTCATTCATCAATTAATCTTGATCTGAAACAAACGATACGTCAATTTATGAATATTTAACATTCAAAACCTAGAAATAGTTACAATATTTACATTCTATACTATTTTTCACGAGAGAATAGTATCATTTTGCGCAGCTCGACTGAACTCAGAAAGTTCCTCCACCAATAGCGCTACTCTGCCATGATTTACTTCCCATTGCATCCGCCATATACATGGTGGACAAAATACAGGGAGATTCTCTCGGCGCGCAACACAATAGCTGCCCCGCACAATGGAACCCTGCTGTGTTTGCGGGCAAAAAGCCCAGGAGGTCAAGTTGCTGGACCCAAGACACACAGAGCAGTCTTGGGTCCGGCGACTTGACCTCCTGGGCTTTTTGCCCGCAAACACAGCAGGGTTCCATTGTGCGGGGCAGCTATTGTGTTGCGCGCCGAGAGAATCTTCCTGTATATTAATATAGGGAACAAAGGTAGTGAATCATAATTCACAAGCTTATGGTCACCGGATATACCTTCTGCCGTACTGCGCTTGCGTGTTATCTTGGTAGCAGAGCGTGGCAGAACCAATCAGAGCCAACATGCGCAAACAAAACCAAAATTCGTTCATCCGATGGTACTACTCTCTCGTCAAAAATACAATACAACTATTATTTGCTATTTCATGTTTTATTTATTGGATTTCTCTAATGTAACACGCCATAGTCCCTTTATCGCACCTCTAAGAATTTTACTTTACTATATGACAGAATTTAATTATGTTAAAAGTCCTCCAAGATTAACTTCAACTAAAAAAGATACGGTTTTATTATAGTTCCTTATGCAACAATCGTTAATAAATACAATACACGAAATGAAGCATAAAATGTAATCTTGTCACATCTCATATGTCGAAGTATAAGATCATCCCATCTGCTTTTTGCATACTACACTAACATTAAAATATCACCATCTCTGTATAGATAAAAAAAATTTCACGACTGGAGTTAAACAAACACGGAATCTGAATTTAATAAGTGAGTCACGTGCTATCCTTGTAGTACTGTTTTTATAAATAAAAGATAAGGAGTCGTGGTGGCCACTTGTATTTACCAACGAATTAAAGTGTACTCTTATATCAGTTGCTTTGATAAGCCTCTTAATTTTTTCAAGTTTTAAATAAGAATCATATCAGAAACATTGGTGGATCCGGAGAGGAGATTACCTCCCGCAAAGAGTTATGAGAACATCTCATAAGATAATTGTTTTTACTAGTATTCTAATATTATTTAAACTGCTATTGGATAAAAATATTAATAAACCAAATCGTATACAGAAAAATTCAAAAACATGATTCTACATACTTTTCTCCTACTCTCAAGCAAAGTTTCTGGATTTGTCCCTGCATTAGAAGAAATTTTGTTAGATCCTTTTAATAAATCTTTCGATTTTCGCGGTTGAAACAAACTATTGCAAATGTATCTCCCCGTTTCCGGTTCATTAAAACCTGTTCGATAGATCTTCCTGTACACAACACGTGAAACACGGTATCAAATATCGGTGATCGATACTGATCGCGTGACCGATTGATTATTATAATATCTATCTTGGAATTTGTAATCAATCGTTTACGTGAAGTGAACGTAAGCAAAATAAAAGTTGAAAGAGAAAGTGAAGGAAGTGATTGAGCTACAAAGAGAAAAGAAAAAAGGAACCGATATATAATCATTTGCTATGTGCATGTAACGTACATGGATCAGAGTTGCTGACGGGAATATGTGTGAAAGGCGGAATCAAATACAAAGAAGTACACTGTAGATATAATCCCCTGAGCCCTGAGAAGATAACGAGACTCGATAAACGGAGATTCTTCTTTCTGCATCAAGTCTGGTTCAGTGTTTCTGTAATAGCCGTCCAGTAAACAGTAGTATTCGCAATGGGTGAACAAAACAAAGTGATCAATTTTGGAGCGGGACCAGCCAAACTTCCGGAAGAGGTACCACAATGAATTAGTGATTTTTTTTTACTTTCAACATAGCTAACTTACCATAAATACTTTGGAAACAATTTTTTTCATGATCTTTATAAAATGAAAATTTTTAAACTTATGTTTATTATAAAATAAATTCTATAGTATAATTGTCAGACAGAAAGTAAGTTTATCTTATGGTAAATTAGAAGCGGGAGATATCGTTCCAGGTCAGACTCGTTCATTCAACTATCGGTCATGCAATTTAAAAATAAAATAATATAATATTTAGGTGATGAAACACGTGCAAAGCGAATTACTTGCCTTCGGTGATACTCGAGTCAGTATTTTGGAACTGAGTCATCGATCAGCCGAATTCAAAAACGTTATTGAAGATGCCCAAGCAACATTACGAGAGATATTGTAAGTTGATACAAATAAAGGGATTTAATTTTAAATATAAACATAGGAAATTAGAAGGAATTTAAGCAGGGCCGAGCTCTGAAAACGGGCCCCTTCACATATATGACATAAAAAGAGTATCTCAAATAAAATTTATAAAATTAACATTAAAGCTTGTATAACTAATTTAGATTAATATTCAAGTAAACATTACTCTTCTTGCATTCTTAGACGCAAAATCGTTTTATGGGGGTCCTGGACCTTGGGGGGGCCCTAGGCGACCTCCTAGTCTGCCTAGGCCCAGGGCCGGCCCTGCTGTTAAGGAATTATAATAGAAGAGTTCTTAAACTTTACAGACATGTCCCCGACAATTATAAAATTTTATTCATGCAAGGCGGTGGAACGGGACTTTTTGCAGCTGTTCCTTTGAATATGATGAATACTGGTACCGCGGACTATATAGTAACTGGTAAATACAGAATACATTCCATTGATTTGCATGAGAAAGCAGGTTTTCCAAAGATGTTATTAAGATAATATTAAAGATCCAAAAGCAAAAGATCACTCTTCAATTTTAACGAAAATTAAACCTTCGAGGTTCTTGGTCAGCCAAGGCGGCAAAAGAGGCAGCTAAATATGGGAAAGTAAATCTGGTTGTACCAAAAACAACGAAATACACTGACATTCCTGATCCTTCGACCTGGAACTTGGACCCCAACGCATCTTACGTTTATTACTGTGCTAATGAAACGGTTCATGGTAACTAAACAATAATACAACGAAGAAAAAAAATGAATGATTTTGATTTTCGACGGTTATATTTGTTTAATTATTTAAGGAATTGAGTTCAATTACATTCCCGAGACAAATGGAGTACCACTAGTTGCGGACATGTCGTCAAATATAGCCACGAGAACTCTAGACATTTCGAAAGTACGTTATATCAGATCTGATGGCTGTTTAATATGAAAGAAAGACGAGTCAATAACTAGTGATAACGTGTTGTTTAGTTTGCAGTAATCTTCGCTGGTGCTCAAAAAAATATTGGTCCAGCTGGAGTAACGCTAGTAATAGTACGAGACGATGTTCTTGGCCATGCCATGAAAGTCTGTCCCACAGTGCTGGATTTCACTGTTATGGCAGCTGATAACTCCTTGCATAATACACCACCAGTATTTCAGTAAGCAACCCTGATAAAAAACGCGTTATGATAAAACGAATATACACAAAAAGACGAGTCAAAAGTATCCTCGACAATATTACTATAATTGAAGTACAAAAAAGTAGTTGTTTGTTGAAACGTTCATTTTACATTTTAGAATATACACAGTTGGATTAATTTTAAAATGGATCAAAGAACACGACGGTGTTGAAAATATGGAAAAGTTGGCTATCATAAAGAGTCAGAAAATATACGAAGTGATCAACGAGTCGAAAGGTTTTTACTCGTGTCCAGTTCAGCCAAATGTACGGAGTAGGATGAACATTCCATTTAGAATAGGAAACAACGATGAGGAACTTGAGAAAGAATTTCTTTCCGGCGCGTCCGCGCGCGGAATGCTTCAGTTGAAAGGTCACAGGTCAGTGTAACTTGAAAAACGAACAACGATGTTGCAAACTCAAATAGCATCATGAATGGAAAAAGTGTAAGAACTGCGATTGAACGCAAAAATATTTAATTACAGATCTGTAGGTGGAATTCGAGCTACAATGTATAATGCTATTAGTGTAGAGGAGGCGGAGAAGCTAGCAGAATATATGAAGTGGTTCTTTCAAAAACATTATAATAAACAGTAGAAGATTTACAGCGTAATCCGATGCAAATATTATTTTGTTGAAAATAATTTGTATATAAGATATATTAAATATTTTTACAAATTTTTGAACAACTTTTCATACATTTTATACAACTTGCTGAACTTTACTGAAAGCAATATTAATGATAATATTCATTGGTTTTTTTTAAGCATTGTATATTGTCATCTCAGTATCAGTGTTTCAAATATACTTTTATCTTTTTTATGTGGAATCATTAAATTTTAGTTATTGTTTAATAAATCATGATGGTATAACTGATTTTTTACATCCACAGCTTTCCCTATCACGAGCTATTCGATTTGCATATATTTTATCTAGTTCCGTTTCTAGATTAGAATTAGTTTTACGACATCCGTCTATCACAGCTTTGGCCCACTGTAATTAATATTTTTTAATATCATTAATATCAACGTGCAAAAGTTTTATACCAAGATCTTTTCAATTCTCATAAATTACCTTGAAATATTCTTTTATTCTCTCTGGTGACCACCCAACAGGAGGGTTTTTTTCAAGATCTCTTAGATTATACAGTTTATCTGCTAGCTTAACTAATTTAGCTTTGTGACTGTTTTTAGGAGCATTTTCTATTTGCAATCTTTTACGCTCTTGTTTTGGCAAACTTTTATCATCAGTTACTTCTTTAACTACATTACAAACCTCAGTACCAAATTGTGCTTCTATCTCTTCAAATGTGGTATTTGTATCTTCCACTGTATCATGTAACAAGGCTGATAAAATCACAACAGGATCATGAACATTACCCTCTTGGATTAAAATATTTGCAACACCTAGAAAATACTTTCTGTACTTTTGACTCTATTTTCATAGTTTCTTCAATAGCAAAATTTGTAACTTTTTATATTTTTTCTCTCTACCAGTATAACAACATTTCAAACCTATAACGTGGTTTACATATGGTGTTCCTTCTGAATCTTTTCTTCTTTGATTTTTATGTTTTATTGCTGCAAAATTGACACACTGCATTATTAGTGCTAATAATTCTTCAGTATTTAATTTTCTGGAACATGATGGACAAGATCCAAATACCGTAAGGGGATCATTATTGAAAACTGGTACACAGCTATTATTTTCCATGAATGTTCTGCAATCTTCTTGTGTCATATAATTTCAAACAAATAAAATAATTAAAAATAGTGACATTATTAAATTATAATTGTACTATAGATGCTATAAAAAAAAGTAAAATGTCATCTGTAAACTGTAACATGTCAAAAAGTTGAAAACATGAAAATATTAAAAATTATATAAATACATACATTCTGTTTATTTGAATGAGTTTAAATCTATTATATCAGCATAATGATAAATTCTTTTCATTATTAATGTTATATCAATAAAAAAACAGTGAAAATAACTGTACCTGAATTATTTGAAATACGTTTGTATTTTGGTTATATCAGCTTCTCAGTATTTCTTCACTTTACCGTAGTCGATAAGGCAATTGTGCCACTGAGGTATGGTAACAGAAGAACTGGTAAAACAGGCGAGACTATTATACCAACTATGGATATCTAACTTCGGCTGTTCTTCGGAAAACCATTATGCTCTAAGTTAGATCAAATTTTGCAAGTAAGCTCTTTTTTGCGAAAGGAAACATCTATGAGTTTCTATGAAACATCTAATGATTTTTGGCGATTCTGATCTTTATGTTTCACCACGGGGTCTCACCACGAGGAGGTTGCTGCGGTTTGGAGAACCGCCCTACCTCATTCCATCCACCTTCCATTTATGCAAATTTTTACTTTTATTCAATAATGAATTCCTCTCGAAAATTGTTATAAGAAAAATATTTGTTAGTCAACGTAGCGAATTTCTATCAAATGAAAAGCAGAAATGATGTGTTCTGTAGACAAGAGCGAGATCTGGTGTCTGACCAGAGTCATGGATAAAGTCATGGCCTTTCCAATGTACAACGTCTCTGCTTGAAATATCTTCGTCAGGGTTGATTTCTTTCTACTATTGCGTATCAAACAACTTCGTTCTTTCTAAATTCCATATTTTGTGACTTTCTTTTTATTTTATTTTTAACCGACTTTGAAAAGAAGGAAGTAATTAGTCATTTGTAATTAGTCAAAAATCATACAAGTTCCTTTTTCAGGAACTATAAAATTACTATAGTTATACGTTCTATATGGTAATATTGCAATCCCGAAAATACTTTTCTGAATTTAAACTATTGTTTCCCAATTAAAAAATATATAAATCATTTTATAGTAGCTCTTAGCTTGATATCGCTTTCTAAAAGTTATCTTCAGAAAACGATATCAATTACCAGGTCACACCACGTGGAGGTGGCTACATTGGTGACCCACCCTGAAATTGTAAAATAGTACAAAACAGTCAACATAAAATACCAATTTAAATAACAAAATGTTGAAACAGAAAACATAATTAACATTATAATTTCAGTAACAATTGAGAAAATAATAATAACAATAAAATATATACAATAAAATAAAACAATAAAATAATCAACAATAAAATAAAACAATAAAATAATCAACAATATAATACTGTAATAGAAAACATAATTATTAAGATCAAAATTTCAATAAAAATTTCAACAGTAAAATGGTGAAACAGAAAATATAATTAATACCATAATTTCAGCAACAATTGAGAAAATAACAATTACACAATAAAATGCTGTAATACAAAATATGATTATTAACATCATAATCTCAGTCGAAATTGAAACGGTAGAATGGAGAAACAGAATAAGAAAACCAATAAGAAAAGAACAATTCCCTGAAATAAAATAATGCTAAAATAAAACCTCTCAAAACTGACAACATAAAATAATAATTTCAACAATAAATCCTGTAATAGAAAACATAATTATTAGGATCAGGATTTAAATAAAAATTTCAATAAAAATTTCAACAGTAAAATGGTGAAACAGAAAATATAATTAATACCATAATTTCAGCAACAATTGAGAAAATAACAATTAAACAATAAAATGCTGCAATACAAAATATGATTATTAACATCATAATCTCAGTCGAAATTGAAACGGTAGAATGGGGAAACAGAATAAGAAAACCTATAAAAAAAGAATAATTTCCTGAAATAAAATAGTGCCAAAATAAAACCCCACAAAACTGACAACATAAAATAATAATTTCAACAATAAATCCTGTAATAGAAAACATAATTATTAGGATCAGGATTTAAATAAAAATTTCAATAAGAAAAGAATAATTTATTGCAATAAAATAATAAACAAAAAAGAAATAGGGGAAATAAAATCGCGAGTTGACCATTCAACGAGCTGGGTATTGAACTCGTAAAATTTCGAGTTCAATATGTTCTCGATGATATGTGCAAAAGGCACATACAAAAAAAATGAAAAAACAAATTAGCGAGCATAGTGACAGAATGACTGTCCATCCGAAGATGGAAAGCCATTAGTAGTTCCCCTCTTCTGGGCAAATTTTGCCGGGGCTCTTCGGCATGTAGCCTTTTCTTTCTTCGGCAATAGCCTCACAAAAATCACTCGCGAAAATTTTACGTTTACTCAGACATTTGTAAAAACGTAACACGTAAACGAGCAACGATCCCTTGAATCGCTACTCGCATACCTGCACAATTTTTACAAATGTCCAAGCACACAACACTTTTTAATTTCACTTCACTTCACTTCACTGCACTTTCACTTTAATACTTCATTTTTGTAATCGGGTCTAGTACCACGACTACGACTTACAAACTAATAAGGCTTGGCCTTGAAAAAATCAAGAGAGAATGCTAAATTAATTAATTGATAAATTAATTAAATTGCATTTTCATCTTTTCTCTTGATTTTTGGTTTCCCAACCCCAGATACAAGCTTCTCACGTATTAGAGGAGAATACGAAGAGAAACATGAAAGCTTGCTCTGGCCCTGCCTACTTATAAACTAAACTCAATCACACCAGAAGTAAACTACCTGCCTGCCTATCGCTATATTTAAAAAGGGGCAAAAATCATTCTCACAAAAATTCACTCCACGGTTCTCATACAACCACCCGGGTGCAAAAATGCCTACACCTAGGGAGAACGTCCCGGGACGCCTCCGACACCCGAGTTCAATTCAACTTTCACACTCTAATAAAATCATACCTTTTTGCTGAAATCGACTGACAAATAATAGTGAACATTATGCTAAAGTAATACATTTCATTTTCGTATTCTATTGAATTATCTAATGTAAAAATTTTTCAATTTATTCTTGATAAGTATTTTGTAATGTTATAGTAAGTTAAGATTGTTAATAAACGATACAAATCCCACATCCTAACCACACACACACACATGTGGAACTTCTATCGTGGTTCACTACTGGTTCACTACTTTTGTCAGTCGCCAAAATGTACACTTAAAACTAAACCTTGTCCACCGCCCTCCACCCACGCGAGTACATCTAAGTACCCGAATGAGCTTTGGGCATAAAAATGAACAAGGCCAAAGGTATTTTCACCTACCAGTTTTCTTCATGTGTGCTGAAATGCCTAAGCTAAAACGTATCATTAGCAAAAACTAAAGATGATATTCTCACTTTATTAAAAGTAAGAATATCGGCGAAATTTCACGGCTCCGATTTAGTATATGGGCTGGCCCCCACAGAGGGTTTTATTTTTAATAAAAGTGACTCGACTTTGCAAATATAAAACTTGAAGAGCAAATACAGAAAAGCAAAATTGAGCAACTATGACATAAAACATGGTGCACTGCTAATATCAGCTGGCAACGAAGGGTCTCACGCCCCCTAGACTTACGCCAGACGCTACATACCACCCACCCCGCCTGGACGTCGTAACGCCAGGACAGAGTGCACCCCTTCGCTAAGAGCGCTACCCGCCCGTCCAACACGTTGCATCCAACGGTGTCAGATTGACGGACGCCCATAGTATAGACAAAAGGACTGCAGTTTAGAATATGGTAACATATTTTCATATGTTCCATATTCTAAAGCTGCGCCTGCAAAGGCCTAGTAATGCATGGGTTTGTCTCCCATGAGATGGTGTTCACGGTCTTATGCCGCGGAATCCTTGTAACTAATTTGATTAAATAAATAAAATATTGGATTGAGTTTTAAAACCAAAAGGATTCCCACCAAATACTAGTCAGTGCATTGTCATATTTACTCTCGCGTTGGAAATTTTTCGCAACACTAATTAAAATAGAAAATCCTGATCGAAAAACATGACTAGTACATAAACATCTAACGGGCTAATATTTCACTATACTGATGAATGATGAGTGTGAATGATGAGTGTTTAGGGTCGAGAACCGTGAACGTGACAGAATGAATTTGAAGTATGAACAAAAAGCTTTCTACAATGCTTGAAGAGCAAATACTGAAAAGCAAAATAGAGCAACTATGACGCAAAAACGGTGCACTCCTAATATCAGCTGGCAACGGAGGTTTTCGGGCCCCCTGGACTTACGCCCGACGCTACATACCACCCACCCCGCCTAGGAAAGGATGCACCCCTTCGCTAAGAGCGCTACCCGCCCGTCCAACACGTTGCATCCAACGGTGTCAGATTGACGGACGCCCATAGTATAGGCAAAAGGACTGCAGTTTATCAAATGGAACATATGGATGTGCGCCACATTCTAAACTGCGCCTTGAAAGGCCTAGTAATGCATGGTTTTATCTCCCATGAGATGGTGTTCACGGTCTTATGCCGCGGAATCCTTGTAACTAATTTGATTAACTAAATAAAACATTGAGTTTCAAAACCAAAAGGATTCCCACCGAATACTAGTAAGTGCATCGTCATTGTTACTCTCGCGCTGGAAATTTTTCGCAACACTAATTAAAATAGAAAATCCTGATCTAGCAACATGACTAAAGGGGAGCTTTAAATTATGCTTGAAGAGCAAATATTGAAAAGCAAAATTGAGCAAATATGACTCAACATTCGTCCACTGCTAATATCAGCTGGCAACGGAGGTTCTTAGGCCCCCTGGACTTACGCCCGACGCTACATACCACCCACCCCGCCTGTTTAAGGCTCTAGGCCCAGGCAGGGTGCACCCCTTCGCTAAGAGCGCTACCCACCCATCGAACACGTTGCATCCAACGTGTCCGAGTGGTGGACGCTAATAGTATAGGCAAAAGGACTTTAAGACAGCTTAGCGTATGGGTTGCAACATACTTAAATGTTCCGTACTCTATGGCTGTGCCTGCAAAGGCCTAGTAATGCATGGTTTTATCTCCCATGAGGTGGTGTTCACGGTCTTATGCCGCGGAATCCATGTAACTAATTTTATCAAATAAAAACCAAAAGGATTCCCACCGAATACTAGTCAGTGTATAGTCATATTTACTGTCGCGCCGGAAATTTTTCGCAACACTACATAAACTTGAAAATTCTAAAGGAGTAATATTTACTCTCGCGTTGAAAATTATTCGCAACACTACTTAAACTTGAAAATTCTAACGGGGTAATATTTACTTTCATCGTTGAAAATTTTTCGCAACACTAAAACTTGAAAATCCGAACGGGGTAATATTTACTCTCGCGTTGAAAATTTTTCGCAACACTAACTTGAAAATCCTAACAGGGTAATATTTCGCTACACAAAGGTATGCGGGTGGATAAATGATTATGTGATAGAGTTCGTGAGGCTGAAGTGCGCATGATGAGTGTTTAGGGTCGAGAACCGTGAACGTGACAGAATGAATTTCAAGTACGAAAGAAGAGCTTTCTACAATGCTTGAAGAGCAAATACTAAAAAGCAAAATAGAGCAACTATGACACAAAAATGGTGCACTTCTAATATCAGCTGGCAACGGAGGTTTTCGGGCCCCCTGGACTTACGCCCGACGCTACATACCACCCACCCCGCCTAGAACAGGGTGCACCCCTTCGCTAAGAGCGCTACCCGCCCGTCCAACACGTTGCATCCAACGTGTCAGATTGACGGACGCCCATAGTATAGACAAAAGGACTGCAGTTTATTAAATGGAACCTATGGATGGGCGCCACATCCTAAACTGCACCTTGAAAGGCCTAGTAATGCATGGGTATATCTCCCAGAGATGGTGTTCACGGTCTTATGCCGCGGAATCCTTGTAACTAATTTAATTAATTAAATAAGACATTGAGCTTAAAAACCAAAAGGATTCCCACCGAATACTAGTAAGTGCATTGTCATAGTTACTCTCGCGCTGGAAATTTTTCGCAACACTAATTAAAATAGAAAATCCTGATCTAGCAACATGACTAAAGGGGAGCTTTAAATTATGCTTCAAGAGCAAATACTGAAAACCAAAATTGAGCAAATATGACTCAACATTCGTCCACTGCTAATATCAGCTGGCAACGGAGGTTCTTAGGCCCCCTGGACTTACGCCCGACGCTACATACCACCCACCCCGCCTGTTTAAGGCTCTAGGCCCAGGCAGGGTGCACCCCTTCGCTAAGAGCGCTACCCACCCATCGAACACGTTGCATCCAACGTGTCCGAGTGGTGGACGCTCATAGTATAGGCAAAAGGACTTTAAGACAGCTTAGCGTATGGGATGCAACATACTTAAATGTTCCGTACTCTATGGCTGTGCCTGCAAAGGCCTAGTAATGCATGGTTTTATCTCCCATGAGGTGGTGTTCACGGTCTTATGCCGCGGAATCCTTGTAACTAATTTTATCAAATAAAAACCAAAAGGATTCCCACCGAATACTAGTCAGTGTATAGTCATATTTACTCTCGCGCCGGAAATATTTCGCAACACTACTTGAACTTGAAAATTCTAACGTGGTAATATTTACTCTCGCGTTGAAATTTTTTCGCAACACTACTTAAACTTGAAAATTTTTCGCAACACTACTTTAACTTGAAAATCCTAACGGGGTAATATTTCACTACACAACGGTATGCAGGTGGATAAATGATTATGTGATAGAGTTCGTGAGTATGAAGTGCGAATGATGAGTATTTAGGACCGAGAATCGTAAACGTGACCACCCCCTTTGGGGGGGCCAACCCATATACTAAACTTATGCCAATTTAACGAATAAAATCGGAAGAACGTTTCAATTTCAAGAGCGATTTCGTTATCAAAGTAAGTAGTTATAATAATAAATAGTATTCATGCTTATTACTTTGATATCGAAATCCGCTCATCGCGAAATAAATTCTTGTACATATAAAAAAGAAAGTGTATTGTGAAGTCGGAGGGTCATCCGACTTCTCTACATTTTTAAACTCGAAATCTACATATGTAAATATGTACAAGAAAACCCTATCCTGAGCTAAGGCATAAAATACACAAAAAAGCAATTTGCACGATTATCATTGTATAAAATGATACAGTGATATTCGTGGGTCACTATGCTCGCTCAAAAAATAAAAATTACAACCAATTCCCGTGTCGCTACGGACCATTCGTCCTACGACATGATGGGAACCGGAGGAACTTTAAAGCATGCGACTCACCGATCGTTGACTTGCACCACTGCAATCGCCACGCATCTTATTGTTAGATTGATCCATAGCTCGCCTGTTGGCTCGTCAAAGAAACGGTATCCCCACTGGCCAAATCACTCATCTGAAAGCATAAAAATTACGATTCTTGAACGATATATGTTTTCTCTCAATTTGTTGTAGTTAATATGCTAATACATAGGATAATTCAAAAATATGCATGCAAAACTATATGGGAATAACTACACCTTAAAACACGGTAAAACACATGCAAATACATCCCAAAACACTCGAAGATCAAAACCATAGAACACTATAAAATATTTGCAAAATTATAGTAAAACACATAGGGTACCAATCCATAAAACCTACTAATAAATCCGTATAAATATGTCAAAACACAAAGGGTACTACTCCATAAAACCCACTAATAAATCCGTATAAATATGCCAAAACACATAGGGTACCATTCCATAAAACTCACTAATAAATCCGTAAATATATCCCAAAGCACAAAGAAAACCACACCATAAAACACAATAAAGCACATGCAGGTACATGGGGTACCACACCACACAGCACACTAATGCACTTGTATAAAAATGTCAGAACACATGGGTGACCACACCATAAGTCGCACTAATATATCCGTATAAATATTCCAAAACATGGGAAACACTATACGAAACACAATAGGCACAAACAGTAACACTTGTGGTAATACACTGATAAATCCATGCACGAATATCCATAGTGTCAACCCGTACCGGTATATGTTTGACAGCTCGATCCGTATCCTTCGGCGGTCGCGATAAGACTGACTAGATTTGACCTTTCTCCAGGTCGCGCTTGTACCGGCGCGCGGCGCGCGCAATCAAGCATGACGTTCCGTTTCACCGGTTCCGCAGATTTAACTATTTCTATCTGATATTTGTTAATATTTGTTTAATTATTATTTTATATTTTACAATTGGTTATTAATCAAATTATTGTTATATCTATTTAAATTGTTTATTTCTTTACATTTCCGCGTGGGTATATTGCAAAATTTTGTTTAATTATTCTATTAAAAATTATTTAATTATTATTTTTAATTTTACAATCGTTTATTAATCAAACGAACGAACTGCACCCTACAGAATGAACGAGAAACTAAATTTCTGATCCGTTTTACCTTGTTGACGTTTTTCGCGAGTGAACAATCAACGAAATCGTAGTTTTCAAATTACTTCTACCTGGAGACTTGTATATCATCTCTTGGATGCTCGTTTTATTCTATCCGACCCAAAGAATATCAGTCTGGTCCCTATTTGGACATACGATTCACAGAAATGTTTATATTACGAATAAATCAATGCAGGTGAGTCTGATCCGCCATTTTCTTGACCGTTGACAGACGGCAATTTCAATATTTTATAAGTTTTTGACGATTTGGATAATATAAGGACCAGACAAATATTCTTTAGAACCTTCTGAACACGAACTCTCAGATTTTTTTACATTCTGTTTAGAAATGAGGACGTAATTTGAAAACTCGCGTCTAGGAAGTCTGAGTAGGTGTGGGTGTTATTATACGTTCGGAACAATTCGCCCATTACACTGCGCTGTCTCGACAAGGTAGGGAATGACACCAAAATGGTAAAAAAAGTTTCGAGTCGCCAAACACCATTTTCACAGATATTTCCGTTTGCAAAATGGAGCTTATTTGCATAATTTGGCCTGAATCGGAGCCTGACAGTTTTCCGAAGTTTCTCCTAACTTCATACTGGGGTACCACGTACCCCAAAAATGGCCACCCATCGGCAACATAGGTATGCCCATTTTTGTTGCATCTGTAGCCACTGAGCTGATGAAGTTATTTCAAAAATTTAATAACAGAGGAGCTGGAGTTGCATAAAAAACATAACCTGAAAAACAGAAGTTTTATTTATTACTGAAAAGTGAAATATACTTTTCAAAATGTCGCTGAAAAGGAAATTGACACAAGATGATTTGCGTAAAGCTATGAGTGAACATAAAAAGAAGTTAGGAACTGTTAAGAAAGTTGAATCACCATTAGCGAAATATCCTTTTTCATTGCAATTTTATATGTTTTAAGGTTAACTTGTACATCTCTTTTTTGTTTGATATTTGATGTTAGCTTTCTTATTTATTTTTGATAATTATATTTTAACATCGTATATCTGTTACTTGACGAGCTTAATATTTTTAAAAAGTCCTTAACCATGGTAAACACATATACAGATGCAGGACAGCTTATGTGTATTTTATGTAAAACTGCTGTACACAGTGAAGCAGTTTGGTCAGTACATTTAAATTCAAAAACTCACAAGGAAAATATAATATTAGCAAAAAAGACTAAACTAGAAACAGAGTCTCCAACAGCTACAACACGTACATTCAAAAGACCAACATCTCCACAAGAACCAACAACGAATAAAAAAATAAAGAGTATATTAAAAAATGCCACAGTACAGTCAACACAAGTACCATCAAATTTGCCATCAGATTTCTTTGATAAACCTTCTAAGCAGCCTAATGGTATGGTACTTTCAAATACTTCTGTGATAAAAAAGAGGTCAGAAGATGATAAAGAACATGAGAAAGAATTGAAAAATGTTAAGGCACAAGAGGAAAATGAGAAAGAAATAGAAAGGGATAAAGATGCAAATCAAGCAGTTCTTCCTGAAGGATTTTTTGATGATCCAGTTTTGGATGCCAAAGTAAGAATATTATATGAAAATTGTACATATAATAGGAGGACATATTATTATATGTTTTCTGTGGGGTATTCTAGGTTCGTAATGTCGAATATAAAAATCCCATAGAAGAGGAATGGGAAAAGTTTCAGAAAGAAATAAAAGAAGAAACAGCACAATCTGCACAAATCATTGCAGAGGATCAAGAGGAAGCAACAACAGAAAGACAATTAGATGAAATAGAAGAACAAATAAGACATTGGTCTAGGTAATTAAAGATAAAATTATCTTTATTTTAAGAGTATAATTCATAGTAATTAAATGAAATACTATTTTGATAGAGTAATGGATCTAGTAAAACGCAAAGAGCAAGTACAAGCCACTGATAGAAAGCAAAACAATACTGATGAGGATATCTCTAGTGGAGACGAAGCTGAGTTTGACGAATTTCTCGATTGGAGAGCAAAAAATTCGTACAAATAAGATTAACTTTCATCGTGTACAGTATTCATGTTCTTGTAAATATTTGAAGGTATTATATACTTTCAAAGTACTTTTGAAACTATTTAATAATGATCATTATTATATTAATTGATCTTTCATACAAAATTCTAAGTATAATTTGTACCAAGAAAGAAATGGAAATTTCTCTGCGACCACCCTTTCTTATATCATTTCTTATTTTAATAAAAGGATACGAAGATGACAAACGATGTTTGTACAGTGTATTAAGATTTTATTAAAACGAATTCAAAGAGTCAGAATATAATTAAGTTTCAAATACAATTGTTATAGATCATTAATTTATCCGTTACAAGCTATAATATGAAATGTATAATATAAAGATTACAAGGTAGGCTAAGCCGCTAGTAAAATAGTGTTGGGTAGTATATTGCCAAAAGTTCAACGATATTCACTTTCGTTACATACCGGACATTATAAAATATTGAAAATTGAAAAATGAGAGACTCGCATACATTTTGTCCGCATCCATCCACGCTGTAGCTAAGAAACTTTCTATTCGCTAATTCAAAAGTTTCTCTCGCGAGTTCGTCTAGATCTGTGTTTAAATATCCTCCGATAGAGTACGTCTCTGTTAAATTTCCAATTGTTCACTAGATATCCTGCGTTAGATACTTAGAGTTTTACAACGTAGCATGTAATCGTAGAGAGCTTAATCTTAAACCTTACGCGATCCTTTGAATCGAAGCGAACTACATTTAACGAATACATCATATTTCTGTGTACATGTACATATAGAAATACGAATATCTCGAGACGAGTGTACGATAATCTTTACGGTATATATTTTAATGCTAAATCGAATCACAATGTTTCGCTTGAACCGTCTACAAATCGGTAATCGAACATTCCTAGACGGATCATTGAAATTAAGCACAAAAAATGCGATCAGACGAAACCTCTACGTTTCTCCCTTAACGTTATTAATATCCTACTAGAAAGCTTAATCGTGCTCGATCACGCTATATTATAGTCCCTTAGAAGCAAGCTGTGTCCGTGATTACAATAATAATTCCTTAACAATGTTACGTATCTAGAAGAGACTCGATCCTAAGAATACTAATCGGACGATATTTGTGCTGAATTCGAGGATTACGTAGGCGAAACCATGTTTAGGAAGAAACTTACAAAATCGCGAAACTCGGTATTTAAAAGATCCTTTCTATAAGAATGATGATCCGTACAATTCGATAAAGCACTGATGCGGCGAAGATTGTTCGTCCCACGGAGATCAAAGATCGTTTTATCTTGATCCACCGTTCGGGACTGCATCGACAAAGGTATATTGTCTAATTTTGATTTCGGCATGTTCCATCGTTGTTGGCGAGAGTTATCGGTCTCCGGTTCGTGTTTTGCGTCTTCCGGTTTCGTCGCGACGAACGCGAAAGGAAAAAGCGACATCGTCCGTCAAAAATCCCATTGACGCATTAAAAAATGGTCGCGGTAACCATGTTGGTTACTTTTCCAACATGCCTTTACACGTTCGGTGTGAGAGAGTTCAGGTAAGTAAATGGAAAATCGAAGCAAACCCCTCGCGAGAACGAAATGTAATCCAAACACTTCCCCATATTTGGATTACCCTGTCGTTCTTCGTTTTAACAAGGTTATACAATGACGATTTTCTTATTACGCGATCACAAGAAACTCGTTACGATTACTTTATGATAGTTCTCGTTTTCTTCGTTCGTGTCTTTGTTTCGAATGTCAAACATTTTCGTGTAAACATGTTCGCTGATGAAACGGAAACATTGTTAAGATGAAAGAAAGTATCGTCTTAATCGATCTTTGTATCAATTATCTACGTTTAGGTGTTTAGAATAGAGGTGTTACAAAAGTGAGCGAGTGTCTTTGAGTGATAAAGACGAGGCACCCTGCTTGTTTCTTTCATTGAAATTACTCTGTTTTGTGCATCGTATCTTTAAGGGTGGAGGGAAACTAACGACTCGATATTAAGCCTCTTAACAATACACGATTCTACGAATTATTCTAGAAAACCTTAAGCGAACGATTTACTTTCCACAGCTGATATTATAATCGATGAATCGTTTCGATAAACTTCGAAACGCGATATCGAGTCTTACTTTATTTTATCGGGCACGGAGGGAAAGTTCTATCCGGAAACGGAAACCTTCCCCGAATTTCGTTCGCGGATCAGATCGATCCCTCTTCGTCGTCCCTTGAAACTCTTATTGAATAAAAACATTTTCTCGTTCACGCACCTCCCTTCCTCCATTTTCTATTTTTTTTATTATTTTAATATCTCCCTATTTTCAAAGTCACTCGATTTTTTTTCTCACGCTATATCTTGAATGTTTGCGATAATTATTAAAAAGATACTCTTTCTAAGTTATCTGTTACAGCTGAGAGGTTGATATACAAATGGGTCAACAATGGGTGCAAAGAGATATAGAGTACACTAGGTGCGGCACCGATAATAATTAAGCGATTCGCTTAACACGATATTAATATCTATCGATTATCCTCGTTATGTATTGAAGTGTATTAATAATAACAACGACGGTAGCAAGAAGAATCTATTAGCTGTACGTTGCACATAGATCACAGAGTGGATACGGTCGCTAGGCGTTCCAAAAAATTCATCTACAAACAGTGCAAATAGTGCCAAGCCTATTATCATGTATATATATATATTTTTTATTTTCTTCTTGTACTGATATAACGTGTATACGTATCTATATATATATAATTAATTAATCTCATCTCTTTATGTAAACGCTATTTAAACGCGAGAGCGCAGGCACTAAATTGCTGAGATACAATCGTACCGGACTATTTGATGATGATTTAAGAAAAGATGATTTTGATGTGTAGGATAGATACAGGTAAAGTGTGTCCTTATCGACATTAACTTTCGATAAAGAAAAATCTTGTGCGGTTTTAATAAGGTATTTGAGTAGAAACTTGTTCAACGCGTTCACTCTTTTTTATTTATCAATACGATGAAAATACCCCGAGGCGACTGTGTCATTTCGTTTTCTCTCGTTTGTCCATTAGAATTCGATCGATCGAACGAACTTTAAATACCTTGCGAACTGTTCCCTTTGCCTTGGACTCGATTTTCGAAAACGAAAAATCCATTTCGTTGGACAGTGACGTAGCGTCGTCGCGTTCTCCGAGTGACCAGGGTCTTCGACCCTTTTGCTGCGACGTATTTTCTGTGATAATTATTGAAGCCCCGAAGAAAAATTTGTATTCTAATTTTCATGCTTCGAATTATTAACGCGTTAATTGATCAGCGTTGAAAAATAAAATAAAATTATTTTGGAGCTTTGAAACTTTCTATGAGACACTGCAAAATAAGGAAGATATTACACTGATCGAAGTAAGTCAATAATTCATTTCGACGTTAATGTAATGAATTTTCGTAGTTCGCAGCGAAAGGGTTAACGCGCGTTCGAATGAACATTGAAACGATAATCGATGTGAAACGATTCGTCGAGCGTGTAACTATCTCGTTGCCTAAGCCGTCATGCGCGATCGTTAATTGTTAGTCGAGCGTGTTGCTCGTAAAATGGATAAAAGCTACGATGCTGCTTAATTATCGCGCTAAACGTAAATTGATTCGCTACGTGTACAGCGTTACCCTCGGGATGTCCGTTCAAACACTTTCGTCTGGTCCCTTTCGTGTATTTTTTTTTTTTTTTTTTTTAATTATTTTTCTTTTGGCTTCTCGTTAACCAGTTTCCCTGGCAAGAACGATCGGTTCTTTTGTTCGTACGTACTTTAAATCGGGCTCGGTGAGTATCGATTAGCCTGTTAATCGTCTGAACCCCGAAATATTGTGCACACTTATCGAGCAGACCTTTCGTCGTATGGATTTGTATCAGACCAGCTGACCACTTGAAAATATCTATTATTCCCCTAGAACATCGGTGTTCGGTCTTTTAACTCCAACAAACATCGTCGATTCTTTGAAGTCGTCGAATGAAATGATTAAATTGTCGAAATGATATCCAGCGAATTTGTCGATGGAAATTAAATCGTTCGAGATAAAAGACAGAACGCGACGAATGAAAGATTATCTTCGTGGAACATTTGGTTGATTGTTAGCTCGCGATCGATGATAGATCGCCGTTCGTCGAAGCGATCGTATGGACTTTGAATAGTAATTCTTAGTATTGTTATTATAAAATACGTGTTTATCAGTTAGAGTTAGCTCGAAGCAATGAGATATGCGAATACACTATCCTTTGGTCCAGAAAAAACATCGTAAATCAATGCAAAGTTCTCCAAAATTTAATTGGAAAATATATTTCTTCGCATTGTTACTAATGTTTCGCCTCCAGATTTTATTGAAAAAAGAAAAACGAAGAAATTGTGCCTCTATGATAGATGTCTCTTTTTTTTATCGTAGAAAAAGATTATATTCTTCTCTTCTTTTTTTTCTTTTTTCTTATTTTCTTAGATGCTGCAGAGTCTAAAGAATCTACGAGAATTAATTGAAAGAATCTTGTTAAACGATGAGAGTGCTGCTTGATTATTTTTCTTCGATATATTCAGAATATTTCTCTGAAATATGTTTCGTGCTTTCTCTCCTAGCAATTTATCAAAATCACAAGACACATACACGCGTACGATGCTCCATTGAATTGGAATAATAACGTGACTTGGATCACGTCGAACTTGGAACAATGATTATCTTAAGTACGATTCGTGAATACCGTTTATCTTTCATTCTGTCCTCGGACATAGTAGATCGGATGGCTACGATTAATTATAGCGGTACCAGTTAATTAGACCCAGGAAAGTTTGTATCGAAGCACAGGACGTAAAGGTAAAATGATGATCATCGTTGAATCGAAATGAGAGAAAATAAAGGAATAGATCTAGGAATAGAATATTGAGACGTGGTTGAAATCGCTTCGAGGACGATTTATCGCGTTCGTTTTACTCGTCCTCGTGACCGTCGTTGAAGGAAAATCAGGCAATGACGTATCGAATCTACGCCTTCGCCTCGAGAATTTCCACGGTGACGTTCTCCAGTACCGTTTCCGTCATGTTATTCGATTGATTCGGCGGGGATTTGTTCGATTTCACCGAAGCAGCCGATGCGTTTCCACTGCTGCCGCGACTTCCTCGTCGTGATCCTGTTCGTGACCCTGGCGACAGAGATTTTCCTGTTAAAGTATCGTGCGCTTTGCTGCGAGAACAGCACTGTGGCCTGACACGAAAAGCCGGAATAAAAGTTGAAGCACGAAAAGCAACGTCGAACGGAAATGTTTCGTTCGATGATGCATTTTTCGTTTGATCGAAAAGGTCACGATGGCGGTCTTCGATTCGCCAACAAGCTTCTGAAGGAAACCTGTCATCGTTTTGTAGAACAATTTAAAGAGTAAAGAATTTCTGTACCATTTTGGTGAAATTGTATTAGGTTGAAAAGAAATTTTGAGATTGTGGAAATTATTAGATCTTTTATATTTTGAAATTAGCTATTCAATATGCAATGTTTATTTTAATTTTTCTATCAGACCGCCACTGTGAACAAGTGCATGCGTTTGTCTAATTCTAAAAGTGCTCGAAAACTCGAATTTTAAAGATTCATGGAACGTCTTGATCGAATTCACCGACGATGCAGTTCAACCGAACTAGTACAGAAAAAAAATTAAAAATAGATCAAATTCTATTCTAATATCGTGATTAAATAATATTGTTGAAATGAAAATTTAATTTAGGGAAAAATAAAATAATCGAATTTTTTAAAAGTATCGCTGAAGCATTTCCGGTGAAATCGATTGATATAATCTATCTTACCGTGCAACCTAGATGCATTTCTTGAATGCAATCTGGTCTCTCGTAAAACTACTTCAGAACTCCGTGCTACAATGGAAATGCACCCGTATTCTAGCGAATATACGTATATTATCGGTTCTGTCCTTCGTAACTCGCGTATCTAATACTAATCGATTGCACTACGCGGAGGAAATAAAAAACACATCGCGCGAGGCTAACTCGCATCAATTTTCTTTCAGAGGCCACGAGATTGGACATTTTTCAACGAGCGTTTATCACAATTCTTTGAACTTTTTCTTATTCCCTCCCAATTTATTCTATAGTATAATCGAACGTTTTTACATCATTGGTACACTCGTTTGAACGCGATTTCTACAGTACAGGGTGCCCCTTGCAACTGGGTCAAGCTATAACTCTAAAATGATAGAAAAATAGAAAAAATTTCATTAGACAAAATTAATTGGTATAAAATCACGTTACATGTGTTGATTCTGGAAATTGAGATGTTTTAAAGATTTCAAAATCATTTTATTTAAAACGTCTTCAATTCCAAAGCCAATATATGTAATAGGTACATTTAACACAATTTAATTTTGTCTAATTATTATTATTGTCTAATTAATTTTGTCTAATTAATATATTTTTTCTTCTACATTGTATTATTGTAGAGTTATGTGTTGGCTCAATTATTTAGGACACCCTGTAGAATATCATCGTCATAAGCAAGCAATGATCTTTTACTGTAGCAAGCAACTATAATCGTGATCCTCGAGAACGCTAAAACAGAAGAGACTCCAGGTCTATCTGTAATTATTTCATCTATTAGAACTGTTAATATACAAACTTCTAGGGCTCGAAGTTCTGACGTATCCGAAAGAGGGTAAGTACCATAGGGCTTATGTACAGATACACATACAAGGCTACGATACATCGTAATATATAATATATATGTATATATGTATAAAAAGGAGAAAGAATAAAAGATAGCGTAACTCGTGTGTAATACGAAACTTACCCTCTTCGAAGGACGCGTCAATTTGAAAAGTATTTTTTTTTTTACAATAGAGCACCTCCACAGTACATGATAATCAAGAACAACGGTCACAGACGGGATCATTAAACAGACTACTGCTATAGATGGTCGACTGCAAAGAGAGTCAAATCCATTAAAAGTGGAACATGTTTATGGCGATTAAGTGATGCATCGTTCTGGCGACACTTTCAAACGGTGCTTCAAATATCTGGTTGTTATTCTCACGTGACTTTCAATCTCTTTAACCCTTTGACTTTGTACAATTTTTATTCTATCATCCTTTGAATTAGTAATTTCTGTATCAAACACGAATACTAGTATCTCTATTTAATAGCTATGGAGGTCACTGATGATGCTATAAATAATTTAAAAAAAAATTCTAAATAGCTTTAACCCTAGATAGAGGGTGAAACTGATCATTTAAAAAATATTAAAAATTTGTTGTTTCTTTTGTTTAGAAAGTTTCAAAAAATAATGTATTTTCATTTATGTCTTCGAGGGATGTTTCAATATAGCAATTAAAAAAAAAATAAATAGCCAAAGGGTTATTTATAGACATAAAGGACCGATTCATACTTTTATATATTCGTTCTCGTTCACTCTTATCACACTGTGTATTCACTGTGCACTTACGAGTTTTGATGCAATTCACTTAACAATTGTCCCGTGATATTCCTTTCTAAAGCTCTCTATGGTATATAATATTATGTTCTAATTACTGTGGTAAGCCGTGATAATGCGTAATACAACATTTCACGTTAATCATCGTCGACGATAAACGACGTGCTTCATGGAAACGATGCACCCTCGATTATAGAATGTACTCAACAGATATCTACCCTCTTGGCAGGCAATTGTGCATGCGAGAAAAGTCAGAAAGATTCCGAGTTCAGTAGAAAAGGATTCTAGAGTAAAGATAGATAGGCAAGAGTAGGTAGTCACCTACTTTATATACTCGTATCTATATTATACACATATATGGGATGTTCTACGGAAATCGATAATACTGAAAGGTAGCTATTCTCGTTAATGATTAATTAACCCGTGAAATGATTCATTTAAAAACAGGCTGAAATTTTTATAACAAACATTATCCCTTAATTTCAATAAAAAGAAAAAAAAGGAAAATAAAATCTTTGAAGAAAAAATGATTATACAGTCTTTACACCCCAAGTGGTCGTTGCATATTTTAAATAGAAACTTGTTCATAAACTAGATCGTCGCTTGATACGTGTTCTACGTGTCTCTGAAATTACCTTGAACACTTCACGATACCTGTATGAAAGTATGAACGTATGTGAATTATAAACCTGAAGGGGTAACCATGTTGGATGGAACTTCTCGGTAATTATAGCGACAAGTAACCTGTAACTCTAACAAAGGAACGTATTTTATTCTTAAACTGGAAAATATAAAATTTCCGTGCTCTTTCCAGCCCATTTACCTTTTATTAAAAATGAAAAATTCTAATCGCCTCTTTGTTTATTCAGAACTTTTCCCTTTGAACGAGAGATGAATGGGATAAAAAGTACACAAAATTTATTTATTTTCCTTTGCGACAGTATAAAACGTTCCTTTGAAAGACTGTAAGAAAGAGAAGTGTATCGAACACGCAGGATAACTTGTCTCTTTGTTATCGTTAGGGGGATGGTGTCCAAGGTGTCTCGATTTCCATCGAACACCCGATATAAAGGCGCGTTAAAAAAGAGTCGCTTGCTTCGTTTCAACGGGACACTGTATAACAAGTTGCTTGCTTAGTAAGTGAATGAATAAAAACCCGTACGGCTCACTCTGTGCTGTGAGTGCTGAGAGTGTTTCGCACCTTGCGAGGCGTTCGGCGAGTGGGCGCGTAAGGAGGCCATCGAGGGTTGCCTCGAAGGTACCCGTACGCTCGCCCTTGAGCCACGTCTCTCCTGAGGATGCAACAGTTTATTTTCCCTTAGCAATGATACGTTCATCAAACGGGCATTCGGGGTATTAAAAATGGTGCGATTTTCGCGCCAACGAGCCCTGGAACAATCAGAGAAAAATACAAAATCATCTTGTGCCTTGAAATAAACAATATAATGTATATGATATGCAGTGGCGGCTCGTAGCTAAAATTAATAAGAGTGCTGCTCCAGAAAATTTTTAGCCTTTGTTTTAAAATACCGGCACTGCGGGAGCGTCAGTGCTCTCTCTACTGCGCAGCCTCGCGCGCAGCTTGCTATGTGCGCATGCGCGACTGTGAAGCGCACAGTTCCTTACAAAGATTTTTGTACCTTTTTCATAAACTGGGGAATGGCAACTGACATTAAGCTTAAGGATTATATATTGTACAAGTATAAAGAAAGAATTAAAGAAAAAAGGACTCGTTATATTAAATGTTATTGATAATATCAAGTGGAAATAGGGGGTGCTGCAGTTCCATAGTGCCTATACGCGAGCCACCACTGATGATATGCGTAACGATAGACAAAAATCTGTCGTTTAATTTTTTTTCAAGATAGAGCTTTGTTAACGAAAAGTAACAAAAAGTTTGAATGTCTATCGTTTAAAAATGTGAGAAGTGGAAAACATTAAATATACATTAAGCAAGCGGTTATCTGCGGTCCATTCTGAGATGCAATTGCAAGGAGAAGTAGGTCATAAAGTTTCTTTATGAGAATTGGTAAAGTCGAGTGTCACCGTGAAAGATATGCAAATAGGTGGCTTACTTGCTGAAAAGCCTAAGGACGACGCAGATGATGATGAACATGAGGGCCATACCAACAAGAACACCGATCATCGTCGGGTCGATGTATTGAAGATTCGGTTCTTCTATCTGCTCGGCTGAAACACCCATTTTAATGAACAACGTCGAACCTGATATCTTCGTTCTAGAGATTCTCTTTTAAATTTATTTCAATCGAAATTTAGATCATTTTTAAAATATCCAGAAATGCAATATTAATGCAATTAATGCAATTGCACATTTTCATCTTCGCCCTTAGCACGCATAATTCACCGAGTAACGTCTTGTTAAGGATCTGAAAGCAACGTCAAAGCGGTGGTGCTTTTAATTTTTACCCTTAAAAAAAGAAAAAAAGAGCTTTTGCTCGCTAGCTGGAAGTTTGTTCGCGCGTTAATTGATCTCGCGAGATAGCTGACGAATTAATGAAGTCCGCGAGATTGTAGGCCGGAATTCCATTAACTTGGAACGCCTGGCAGCAGACGCGGCCTGGAATCTCATTAAAAATTCCACGGAACTTGTTCGGTATTTCGTCTGTTTTCCCTTACCAACGCATACTATCGCACCGTCGGGCTGCGTAACCGGGATCTTCTCGAAGATGCAGATGCAACGGCCGTCCCTGCATTCCGTTTGGCTCACCTTCGCCTCGCATTGAGCGTGAAAGAAACACGACTCGTTTACGTTCGCCGCTGCAACACAGAGAAACCATTAACAACGGCTCGTTCCTCATTCAGAAATATTATTCGAAAGATTTCTTTTTTTTGCTTCCTACATCTCGAGTTTTAGTGTATGTTTAAAACAAAAGTTATTCATATTTATTGTACGAAGAAATGAATAATTTATAAAAGAGGACTGTAGAGGATGATTATTGCACGACTATTGAGATCTATTGTTAAATCTTTTCTGACAAATATTATTTGAAATATTTTTCACCACTCCTCGAGTTTCGAACAAAAGTTATTTGTTCCACTATTTTTTTATTTTCACTCATTGTATGGACGGCTGAAAGTGGAATGAATAATTGATAAAGAAAAACTGTAGGGTGATTATTGTGCGATTGCTATAGAAGTGTTGTTGAAATTGTTAACATTTTTCTAATGAATATTATTTGAAATATTTTGTATAGCATATGTTCGAATAAAAGTTATTCCTTTGATGGAGAGATTATTCATTTTTCTCTGTCTAGATGCTGGAATAAATATTTATTACAATTATTGACCTTTTTAAATCCGATCTGAAAATCATTCGGTATTCAACATTCATACTTCAATCCACTCCTTTCAGTGAAACTTCAAGCAAACGTATTTCATCTCGTTTCTCTCCGACATCTGTACATCGAATCGTATTAAAATGTAAATTAAAAGGAACGACATGAATTTAGTATCCCTTTCCTCCGATCCGATTCTCAGATATTACGCTTTTCAGTGGTAATGCACGTCTCTCTCGAATGTTGTCAATATAGGGAACAAGCAGAAGGCGACCATTGTCTCGAGATATTGTCGATACGTCAATCAATTATCGTGCAATATTCCGACGTCCTATTGTAACTTCAATTGTCCGACACAATCAGACCAAGTTTCACTTCCAGGCTCTATCTTAAATTTGAGTTGTTCAATTTCAATTCTTGATTCCAAGTCCCCTGAGAATTGGGGAAAATTTATGATTTCTGAGAGAAAAGCGAAGGCAAGCTTAAAATAGTATTAGAATTAAATTGATAGCAATCATATCGATGATTGACGTTTCGAATTTTATTTAAATTTTAAAGGTATTTTGTATGATTCTGAAGTATTTCTACTTTAATTAGTCTAAGTGTACTTTAATCTCCACAGACTGAATGGAAATTTACATTGAAAATTATCTTGATTCAGATATTGAAAAACTCTCATAGGACAGAGGGTAGTGGTGACAAGCTTGTGGATAACGGAGTATGTTTAGGGGTTGGTGTGGCGAATCTGATCCGCTAGATACTTGCCACACTGCTCTCTATACATCAACCACAGGCTTGCAATTAGGAGAGTAGTTTAACACTGATGCAGCTTTAATCCTTGACCAGAAGCATTCTAATCTTGCCTTCCTTTCCTATCTATCTGATAAATTAATATTTTCATAATAATCAGAGATACAATAAGAAATTGAATTAAATTCCAATTCTGGAGTCTATTAACTAAAGTGTTTCTCAATCTCATCATCATCCCTTCTTTATATTTACATAATTAAAATTTATTCATTATAGAATTCATGAATCGCAAGGGGGTTGTAATTTACTGAATTGTCGCTGAATTCTTTACTACTTCTAATTTCTCATGAATTTTCTAATGTTCTGGGGTCAATAAGAACGCGATGTCTCGTTCGAATTCCACGAGAGAAAAGCCATAAGCAACCACCCCTCGACGTTCATATCATTTCGCTCGTAAAACTCGGTCTTCCCATAGGAGATGTTCCGATCTCCGAACGTGACCCGACTGAAATAACTCGAAGAATGCGAAACGACTTTCGTTCTACTTCTCGGTTTTACCATCACCGTCATTTTTCCTCAATTTAATCCTTTTGTTCATCGCCGTTGCAACGCGTTGTTCGACGAGCATGAAACACTTACGAAACAGTGTCTGGCTGGCGGCGCGCATGAAAATATACTAACTTACGGTGTCCACATTTGTCGATATGATTCGTTGCCTCGAATTCTTCCCTGCACGCGCATTTGCTCTTTTTTGGCTCGCAGTAAGATCCGCCGAAACCGCATTCAAGATCCTCCGTGCAATGGTCGCCAAATTTCTTCGTCCCTCTGCCAGTTAAGTCTGCAACAGACAATAAATAAATGAATTAGTAAAAAATATATCTGACAGAAAAGGAAACAATTAAATATACAATTGTTAGTAAAATTTAACCCTTTGAATTTGAGGGTGTTTTTATTATAAAGATCGATGACTTTTTAAAATTAACTTCCTATTATCGTGAATTTTATTTTCAAGGAGATCGAAAAATAAAATATTAATTCAAATGCTGAATTACAAATGTACAGATTTCATTTGGCAGGAAAATTGAAAAGTCAGCGTTCGTATAAAAATCAGCTCACTTTTATGCTCAGCCTGAATTTTCATTTCAGGAACAGTCAAAGCAAGTCGATGCAATCACGTATTGAATTTTCATTGATAAATTGCTCTCGAGTCCAACGACGGCTACGTATCCCGCAACCGAACCGTAATTCACCCCTACGATCTAAGCAAATATATCATCCGTCGTGCTACCACCCCATCTCACCCTTCGTATGACGAAGCGTTTTACTCTGGTTTTGCGATCGTGTCGCAGCTGCCACGTGAATTTACATTTTATACGCTTTCCATTTGTTAATATTTGCACCATCGCATCGGTTAATTCCATTGAAAGTTCATTCGCAACGATCTATCAATTAAAAATCAACGATTTTGCGATACTTTCAGAAACAATCGAACATAATTGCGATAACTATTTGCATAGCTCGTGAGAACGCTAATAATTAAGGAAAATTAATTAAACTCAACTAACAGAATGAAGTGCGAGCAATTGCGAGATTCAACGAAATACAACCGAGTCAACACGAGAAGTAAGAAACGTCGCAATTGGTTGTACTTTGTGCCGTGTCCATGCAATTAACGCGCTCGCAGAAGTGTACTCTTCGAGGTTCAACAGGGCGTCGAGGCGCCAAAGAATTCGAAAGGGGGTTACACTGGCGGTGCGAAGAAGCCGACGACCGTCGACCGAGGCAAAGGAAGCAATCCTTTTTTGCAAGGCAAAGAGACCGAGCTTGATTACTGCATTGTCGTCGTATAATGGCACTCTGCTCAAGATACGATCGTATTCAACGCCCAAAGACGACCGTTCGTCTTTTTACCCTGAAACACGACTTGGAACGATTTTCGGTCGCTTTGGAATCCTGCTGGACGTCAAAAACGACGAAGGAGTTCGCTAAACGTCAGCAATTAACACATTTTTGTAATTAATTAAATTCTAATTTAAACGATTCTCTTCTCGTTTCCTTTTTCTTCCGTGCAACGTTCGGGATAGTTTCGTCGATTTTTCCGAATCGACTGACAAAATCAGAAACGAGCCAATCGATCAGGAAACATCGACAGCCAACTCGTGCGAGAAGAGTGATAGGAAATGGTGCGCGAACGATGTGAAATAGATGTGTAGACGATGCAGAGAAACGAAAACACGAGAAGGTTGCATACGAAATGAGTCACGACACTATCAATGCACCGTAGATATCTCAAACAAGGAGAAAGGTGCGTGCAAAGTGCTTTCGTGATATCATCGGGACGTCGCGACGGCGCCGGCCTCCATGGTAAACGATAACCCTCGTTTGGGATATCCTGCTAAATACATCACGTAATTAATGCCTATACAACTTAAAATCTGCTGTCATACATGGGAAGGAATCAGGTACATTTATCTAATCAACATTTTGATATTCCTAATGAGTGTAACAGGTACGTAGCTACAGAAAAAGAATTATTTCATAGACGGGGTGAAATGAAATACAAAATTAAAGATATTGAGAAATTTTCAAAAGATTTTAGATTCTTAATAATAATATTACTTATTAATTTTTATTCGATAACGTTATTTTATTCAATCGTTATGTAAGTAGAACTTGTCTTACACCCTTGTCTGACCATACACGTAGCTGTTCCACTTGTATCACTTAGAAGCTAGTAAATTTCATAAATTAACATTTCTAATTAGTGAATTTAGATTTAGAAGACTATTTTATAAATAATTTAACAAATTCTTAAATATGATGTTATCAGCAATCTCCTTTTGGATATAAAAAGAGACAGAAAATGATAATAATCATAGACATCATGAAATATTCATCAGAGTATTAATTACAACAGTTAAAATCAGATAACTTTCAGTTGAATTGTTCGTAAAACCGGCAGTAATTACTAGATCCACGATTTATGAATTTTTTACTGCCAGGTGACAGAGCTTTTAAACCATTAACAGGAACCCTAATGGTCGCCGTCAGATAATTCGTAGATAGTTAAAACCATTATGTTTCGAAAGAAAAATAATGGGGCAAGTATGCCAGTGAAACTGGCTAGCGATCCGAGAGAAGCTTTACGCCTGTGTGGCCAGTAATTTCCGCTTTGAAACGAATGTATAAAGCGACGACTTGAACCCTCGAACCTGAAAGAAAGTACAGCCTGTTCGCGCATAATTGCGTGGTCAGTTAACGATCTGTCCCCTTTGCTACGACCTGAAAAAAGAACGGAGAAAGAAGGGAAAAAGAGATCGCGTATCACCCGGCCCCCTCAGCGAGAACTGTTCGGTGACTACCAGTAAAAATGGCGACTCTTGGGTCAATCTACGTGTTGAAAGTGGGTCACTTTGCAGTGGCACATTGCCAACACTCTCACGTGCGAGCCGTCCCACGCTTGCTGCAGTCTGAAGCTGGCAACCACCTTTAGACAGGGCCGGCTCAACAGGGTAGCAAGTCAGCTTGCTCTTTGGAATGTACGATCCCCTATTTTCGAAGCTTCGGATTCCTCGTTACCTTCGGACAGGGTTGGTCCAAGAGGATTGAAAATCAGTTACCTGCTTAAAATATGGAATTTTTTAGGTATTCCCTTTTTTCTAAGCTCTACAGATATTATTGTTTCATATTATCTTTAGTCAGGGCTGTTTAATAGGGTAGTAAGTCAGCTTGTTATTTAGAATGTACAATCTTCTATTTTCTAAGCTCTACATTCGTTATTCTATTCAGAGTGGGTTGGTCCAAGAGGGTTGCAAATCAGTCACCTGTTTAAATTATGTAATTTTTTAAGCAATTTTTTTCTAAGCTTCACACATATTATTGTTACATATTATCTTTAATTAGGGGTGGTTTAATAGAGTATTTTACACTTGCAAATATATTAAGAATGTATAAAATATAAAATTGTTCTGTATTGTTTAACCCTTCGCTATTTTTCACTGCATTTCGTTTACCATACATGCAAAGATCTATTTTTAGTCAGGGTCAGATTTCTCTTTCTATTTTTAGCCGCTTCGTTAATTATGCGGAAATGCAGATGGTAAGGGTAGAGGTCTAACTAGAAGGTTTAATCGAATTCCAAGAGAAGAATTTAAATTATTACAAATACATTTTAATTAAAAAACAAAGTGCGCACAATTTGAAATGGTAAATTTTAAAAATACACTGATGCACGAATAGCTTGAAAAAAGCTCGTAATGCAATTTCTAAAGATTCACATACGTACATATTGTGTATGAAAAGGGGAGTAATAAAATGTGTATAAGAGATGTATAAAAGGTAGTAAACAGATGGTATACCGTGCAACAAAAAGCATTTGTGAAAAATCCTGCTACGTTTTTCCCCGGTTTTTCAGCTTCCTTTTATGTCCCGTCGTCTCTTTTAAATCAACAATGAAATTCTCGTGAAACGAAGGAGCTCACGCTTCGTATCAACGTTTCACAGCCTTTTCCGCATCTTTCGAATAATTTAAGAGATCAAACGGAAACGGTCACCAGTAAATATTCAACTTTCTCCATTTCCAGAGACATTCTGCTAAAGAAAAACCTATTTTCCTCGAGAAACCGTGCCACGGTTCTTATCAGCTAATTTAAATGAAATTTTCAAATAACTACAGTGATAAAGAAAAACGATCAAAATGAAATTTATTTAAAGAAATAATGATAGAGATATTATTTTTATCACACGAAAATCTGCCACCAGTGAGATGTATATATTTTTCCAATTTTTAATTCAACAAAGTGAACAGATCAAGCGCAACGTTGCTTGTCCTGTGCAGTATAAACTGTACAGATATTTTCAGATCGACCGATAGTGGGTTTCGATACGTATCTGAAGCTCGAATAGAGGACTTTATTGACCACATACACGCAACTACCCTTACCGTTTTAGTTTTTAACCCTTTGTCCTATTTTGACGACGAGTCGAACGTAATCCTCGTACGATTTCTATGTTTTGAGCGACGAGCATTGGTGTAATCGAAATTTTGGAGGTATGATCCTCCCCAAAATTTGAACTTGTTAAATTTTAACTAGACAAAAATTTTAGTTGCATTAATTGTAATAAATTAATGGGTAAAGGTTAAAACTTGAAATTTTCAAATAATGGGTAAATAATTAAAACTTGTTAAATTTTAACTAGAGAAAAATCTTAGTTACCCTAATTGCAATAAATTAACTTCTATTATCTAAAGAGGAACGACCGACCTATAAATTCGCGCAGAGCTTTTCCCTTTGAAATATCCGACAGAGGACGTGTAATTTACGCCTCTTGGGAATGGAAAGATCACTGAGCAGTTACCTTCTGACCATTTGCGCCTATAAAAGTGCGATAAATTTATAACCGGATCGATGAACTAAACGTTTCTCCAAGGAAATGCGAGTATTTTAACGCCATCCTCGTTAATTCCTGTCATCGTTTTTCTAAAAGGATTCTAAGTTATGTAAATTGAAGCTCATGATGAAAATACTGAATATCTTGGATGATGTGAAAGGAGGATCCATTAATCTTGACTCAGATCCTGACTTTTTCATTGCTATTGTTTTATGTCATTAAGAACTGTATTACCCAGTCAAGAGGATGTTAATTTGCATAATAGAGGATACATTTGCATGGCAACGCATTTGTAATGCTCTTAAAAACTCGGGCATGCTGTGCAAATTAGATATTTGATATTCAGAACAGGTATTCTTGAATTAAAGTCAAGATATTTCTTTAATACTCACTATTGCTAATAAATGTCACTCAATTCTTTAAGTTAGTTCATTTTTAGTCAAATGC